AAGGTAATTTCACGAAGTTAACTTTACATTCATACTTTAAATGTATCATGTATTATGCTGGTTTATTATTTTGTTCCTTTTATTGTCAGTAATCATTACCTTCTATTCTGAGTTTAAAACAGTCATAACTCCGTAACCGTCCAAAATCGGACACATGTTTATATGAACTTTTTTGATCACAAAGACCTAGGAAATCACCTCCTGCAGTTATGCCCTAAAGTCGTGAAACAAAATTCCCCAATTCCTAAATGCTGCTCTTATGCTTACAAAGTATAGGGGCTGGACCTTTGGGAGAATAATCACTTCATAACATATTTTTAGAACCTTAAAAAGCCACATATTTAATTCTGTTTAATGTCTAAATATCCAGCACTACCAGATAGTTTTAATGCATCTGTGTGGTCCTAGGATTGAATGCCATGGACATGTATTTATTGGGGGAACTGTGGTTTCACTCATTGGCCAAATTCAAGGTTACTACCTTCCTGAGATTCTATGGGAATCTTGTTGCTTTTCATGAACCTCATTTAGCTGTCTAGTCTGTTTAAATTTTATTTGCCAATATTGTAGGCATTTATTGACCAATTTTTCTGAAACTCAGTATGAACAGCTTACTATTGGAGACCTTAAAATCATCATTCATATTACCGCATTCAAGAAAGATGGCTCACCATAACCGTTTTTATTTCTTATTTGATATTGCTACTGTTATGTATATGTACAGTTTCAGATGACACACTTCCAATGAGATCGTCTGTGAGTGTGATTCTATCAAGCCCAGCCCCAGACACAAGTATGTCCCACCCAGATTATGAACAGACTGCTCATGATCATGCTGCTATATTGCTACTTGTCAAACATGTTGGTAAGTGGTGTGTTTTCCTATTTTACATTAAACAGAAGTATACATTATAAATTTCGCTGTTTTCAGCAAAGGGTATATATTTATTGAATATTTGCAAACTCTTTGGATTGGTATTAGCACCTTCTTAATTTCTTTAATGTTGCGTGTTTGAAGGAAAATGGAATATAACGGCACTGACAATGAGAAATTTATATAGAGTTTAATTTTTGTTGGTTTTTGGCATCAGGTTAACCATTCTAAAAGGGCACAGTAAGTTATGCATGGTAAGAGATTTTTTGCCTGTTTACCAAATTTATGTGAAGAGCACTATTGTGAACCTCAAATCCAAAAAATTTTATATAACTTTTTTTTTGTATATTATAAATTGCAGCATGATGACATCATGGACTTTCGAAATTATGTGTACGAAGAAATGTAAATCAACGTTTTTTAGATTAGGCCTTATCTGAGTTAGGAATATTGTATTTCAGCATCATATTGTGTGAGAACAATTTATTATTGTCACCATTTAAATTTTCATAGTGGGGGGTGGAGTCCAGTTGGGTCCACTCAGCACGCCGGCCACTGATTGGCCTATTGTACCTGCCCCGGGTGATTATGATGATGGAGAATTTTGTGGAATGAAGATTGGCAGGGAAAACCTGCTCCAGCGCCACTTTGTCCAACACAAATCCCACTTGGCCAGACCTGGGCCGCCACAGTGGGAAGCCAGCGACTAACCGCTTGAGCTATGGTGCAGCCTAGACTTTGTCACCACAGTTCATATATAAACTTTATGTACTATTTTACAACATATTTTGGCTCTTTATGGCCATCATCAGGGAAAATATTTACATTCTCTCCCTTTCTGCTGTTTTCCCACACATTTATCAATGTTTGCATCCGGGGAATGTTATACGTATTATTAACCACCATTACGAAAGCATATAAAATTGCGTAATATTAAAATATTAAGATGTTCCTGAGTGCTTAGGTCATAATTTGTGTCTTAGTGACTCATTTTCTAAAGTATGAATGATATCATCACCTTCTAAAACAGTGATCAGTGTTTTTCTGGCTTGCCAGGTTGTCTGATAAAAGCTAATAGACTGTCATGCCATTATTATTGAAGAGTTAAGGGTGGTTTTCCTCGTTCATTGAAGATTATTCTTCAGTAGCTACAGAACTACTTGGTCTGTTTAATTGATCTGTACAAAATTACATACAATTTTTGCATACTGCAGGGAGTCAGTTAAAACAGAAGAACTTTAGTCGTGTGTATGAACGTTTGTCTCGAGTGAACCATGTAAAGATAATTGACTCAATGGGAGTGTCTCGAGAAGTGTTGGCACGCTACATAAAGGAATATCCTGTAGAGAATAATGACTGGGGAGACTACCAGACACATCGCCGTTTGCTAGGACTGATTTCTCTTGGTAAGTTATGATGTTCAGGCATGAATTGCTACAGTAGGTAATGTATTTGTTTTTATTAATCTATTAGGAAGAGAGATGCAATCAGTGGCAGCAAAAAAAGTCAGTTATCTTAGTCTGACTGATTTTCCACTCTTTCTTACGACATAAAGAGACAGTACCTTTAATAGGTTATAGCTACTGCCTCCCTCATCTTCTTCACATATTCATTCATAATTTACACCACATAACTTACACAATTTACATAATGTTATTAAATAAACGAAAAATAAAGAAGAGAGCAACATTGGATGAACAAATTTTTCACAAGGAGTAAAGATTGTGAGACAGCCATAACTATTGTTTTACTGCATTTACCATTTTGTAAAGCCTGCCTACATTTTTACCTGTTGTATGTACTTATGTTACACTAGAAACTTCTGGTCTGATTTGTTTTATGTCAGATAAGGGTACATTTTGCTCACTTTGTTTTTAAACAGTCATGTGTATTGTCTAAACTGCTGCTTAGTGTAGTTTGTAATAAGGCAGAATTAAGTAAGTCACTCAGGTCAAATGTAGCCTTACATGATATCTATTACAGGTGTTTGGAGAAGAAATTAAATTGTTATTTTGAGAATTATTGTTGAATGAAAAATCTTTCATATTCAGAATATAAACAGACTAAGAAAGATAAATTTATTTGTCATTAAACTGCTAACAAAGGTTGATCTTTACGGGTTAGAAACTAAATAAATGAACATACAAATGCAGAATGACAGTTTTGTCAAACAATTAAAGAGGATGAGGCCTGATTAGAAGCAGAATCACAACCAACAAGATAATAGAACATAGTATAACCTGTTTATTGTCATATAAAACAGATGTAGGTATGCAAAAAAAATTATATATATATATATATATTCCCCCCCAAATTAGAAACCTAATAAACAATATGCTTAAACCATTAATGGTTCAGATAATCTCAATAAAAGGAATGTGCGCATGTTATCACTCCAAATTTTCCTCTGTTATGACAAAACTTAATAATGAAGATCTAAGAGAAGTCCAGTATCACAGATGGTGGAGTTAAATGTACGAGGTGGACTGCAATGTGTATATGGAGAGTCTATAATATAATTTGGATTAACCTGGGGCACAAATCTGCATTGACCAAAACTGTGAACAAGAGTAAATTGAAAGAATTGAGAGAGACAGACTCCCTGAATTATGATGAAATACTGTCAGGAAAAAAAACAAAACAAAGTTGTGTATTGAACTGACAGATGAGACCATAACAGATGAATAATATTATCTAACTTCATGACAGCTTGATGATGTGTGTGATATGTTAGTGTTTGTTGAATTACTGGTGAATAGAATGGAACCCAAAGTTCAACATCACTGAAAAGAACCCTACTAGTGAACTCAGTCCTCAGCCAGTTCTGATTGAACCTTATTACCTCATTCAGCTCTTTCGGCAAAAGACATTTAGGACTGAAAAATAAACAGGTATTTGTATTGTTAGTCTGAGATGTGTAGTCCTGAAGTACATGACAAATTTCTTTTGTTTCTTCCAGGAAAGTATGACACTCAGCAAGAACTGAACGAATTGTGCCGTGTACATGAATCTTTGAAAGTGAAATATTCCTCAACTCTGTTTGATTCCCGATGTGTATTGTTTGGTCCACCAGCTGATACAAGTCCTAGTGAACCTAATGTACTTTCAACCCCATCAAATTTTAAAACACGTGCTGTTTTTTATGAAGACTGTGAACCTTGTGTCGGATTGGAAGACCAAATCTCTGAATTTTTGTCTTCTCTGTTTTGGGTCTTGGAATCAAAAAGACTTGAACGTAGTAGGGAGAAGGTGGAGCGTGTCAGTTTGCTTCTAGCTCCTTTTGAAAGAAAAGACTTTGTTGGTTTGGACTTGGAATCTCGCAGCAACCGAAAACGTTGTGTGGGACGCATGACCAAACATCTAGGGGATCTGTCACTGCAAGCAGGCCTAGTAACAGAAGCACTTAGCTACTACAGTTCTGCTGTGGATATACTGAAAGCTGTGAATGATTGGCTGTGGCTTGGTGGTGCGTATGAAGGACTCTGTGCTGCTTCTGTGATTCTGTTGTATCCAAATTTGAGTAGGAGCTTTCCACTGCAGCGCAATGCATCATTACAGGAAGGGAGTCCAGGAAAGCAGAGGTATTCTTTTGGATTTTATATTGTTGTTGCTCATTGTGTAGATCTGTGAGCCCACACTCTTTCTGTCTATTGCCAGTAATTCTTCATTACAGTTGTGTGGTTACCACATTTATTCATTTTCAGAGGATTTCAGTTTTGATTTTCAGTCAAGAAGTCAGCAGCCTTGCTTCTTTTTCATAGACCTTTTCATCATTATATAAACTATGCAGTTGAAAAAATATTGTGGCATGTAGACCTGTTGCTAAGCAGTGACTGTAAACAACAACCTTTTCTGAGCAATGACTCAGTAAACACATTCCTGTGGCAACAAATACACGTGCAACAAGAGTTACTGTTGGAAATGGTGTTTTCTGTGGTCCATGCCAAGATGTTATAACCAGAACAGTTGGAGTAATGAGTTCAGTTGTGAGTAGTACATAGTAGCCAGTCTGCAATGGCTCGAGCACAGAAGCTGAAGAATCTCCATTGTTGAGGGCTGTTACCAAGCAACAACTAGGGAAGGCTATAAAAGATTGAGCCTTAGTGTGTGCTGTAGTGAATTGTAAAGTGTGTAGATCTGTGCTAGTGTTGTAATTGCTTGTCATGTTTATAAGTGGTCAATAAATCCATTCACCAATCCAAACCCCATCTATAGTCACTCTACTATGTGACAATATTATTAAATGAACTCAAACTTTATTTCCAGCAAGATGAGTTACATTCTGTTTTAAGTTAAATTCTTATGCATCCAGTGGAGTTCAGAATGTATTCAGGTTAGAACTTATTTTGTATTTCTTGGGGATGGAAGGGTTGGAAGTTTTACAAAAGGTTAATTAATTCTGTCCAGTGTGACTGATGGTTTTTTCTTTTTAATCTTTTATCCATTACATGTTTCAGTCCTATAGACCATCTTCAGAAGGATATAAATACAATTAGAAACCACTATTACAATATGTTTTTTTGAATATAAAAATGTACATACAATGTCATCATAATACAATGTAGAAATCTAATGTTTTTAAACAACTACAGAGGCTTGTACCAACACGTTTTAATATATTCATTACAGTTAGTGCATTTAAAAATGTTAAAATTTTTAAACTAAATTGGTTCGTGTCCCTTCCATTTTCTCTCCTCGAAACCAAGCATCCACCACACCCACGGTTCCATCGTTCGGAGAATACATTTCTTTAGTGTCGTCTTGTCGATGTTTAAGGCGCGCTGTGTTGTTAACAAATCAAACTTGGAAGTTTTATTTGTTTTAATTGTGCATGGTTCAGAATTTCTATATGTAAACTGTTGTGTTGCATTAACACTTTGAGGACCGGCAATTTAAATATTTAAATCACCCTGGGGCCACCATTATTAAATTACTGTCCTAACTTGTGCACTGTTCACTTTAAAAATTAATATAAAATCTCCTAATTAATTTTATGAACTAAAATTTTTGGAGAACACTTACCAATGCTGCTAGAAGTGCTTGAGAGTGTGATATTTCTGTAAACATTCCCCTTTGTGAAGTGGCATTACACAGAACTTGCAATGTAGACATATTCCTTTTTTTATGAACTGTGCAAACACAGCATTGCCTAGAAGGATGCTTCACCTTGGAATGATGACTCTTCACAATTTTCATGTGGGTATGTTTCCACACATCACCCAAGAGTCGCTCTGGGGGGTCCACATGAGGCCTGCATGGGGTGGGAGTTGATGGGCCCGGTCGCACTAAGTCCGTGTCTTACTCTGGTTCTGCTGCCACCATCTGGTCTGTAGCCCAGGCCTTTGCCACATTCATCAGAAATGCTTTATATTTCGATTTTAAATCAGTTTAGATTTTTTTACTGTCCCCGCAATGTTATTACCCCCCTTATCATCAGAACTACTGTCATTTTTACTGTCTGTGGCCACAATTCTTTGTTCTCCCCTGTCGCTGCCGCTCTCTGAATCACCATGACTACGTGTCTCACAAGGCAGGTCAGCTGGCTCATTGGAGAAGAATTTGTCCTTGTCCATACCCCACCACTAACTGCTTGCTGATACATACAGCTCGAAGAGCAGCAAAGCATTTTCCTTTTTAGTGGGTTAAGAAACCAGCAAGATCAAGTTACTGACAAGTAAGCAAACATTCTAGAGTTTTATTACACAGCTGTGAGGCGCCAGAGCAAGGTATTGTGTGTTACAACCTAACGTGTCCTAAAATCATGATATCATGCGACCGGTCCGCCATGTTTAAAAGCCAAAAGCATGATATCATGCAGCCGGTCCTCAATGTGGTAAGTAAGTACATATGCAATTTAAATCCTTTCATTTGTAACAAAAATGAGTATCAGATAGTTGGCCATTAGCTGGTGTATAAACAAAAGAATTGGGGGCAGAAAAGAGGCTGAGAATTCCACCTACTGTAGTTTATGTCAATACATACCACCTCAGTATTTAGCTGTAAGTGATGATGGATAGCTGAGAGCTTCAAATGAAGATGTTGGATGAATGACTTCAGAAGATCAGTGATTAGGTAGAGAGATCCAGTGAGGGCAGATGTTCACAAGGGAGTAAGAGAAGAGGGAACATTTGTGTAGGATGTGTGCTGACAAGAGAAAAGAGATGAATGGAGGAACCTTAGTTATAAATTGACCTGCTCTGATGTATTATTATCGATGATAGTGACAGTGAAAAATTAGACTTATGATTGCTACCTTATAGTTTCTTCACTGTATGTTAAGATATGAGTTATTTGTGTAGAAGGATAATGCTGTTTTCACTATAAATTTACCTTAATAATTTGAATATTTAATTGATTTCTGTTCTCAAGATAACAGTAGAACTTTTCCTTTTAGGAGTAGCTCAATTTCCACAAATTCTTTACCGAGTGGTATGTCACCAGCAGAATTACAACAGGAAGTACAGAATGTTTTATCACCAGAAGATATTCCTAAACGATATCGTGAAGCCATTATCCACTACAGTAAAGTAAGCATTACACCTTTTTGTACTATAAGATATGGGTACATTTTCTTTAGTCAGTTGAAAATGATAATTTGTTTCATTCTGGTAAGGAAACTGAACACAGGAAAATGATGTCGGCTCAGTCATTGCTGTAATCATCCATGATATTGTGGCAAAAGTTGGTTTTACTGAAATTCAGTTCAGTGAAATTGAAAGGGTTTTGAGACTAAGACCTTTTTTTTATCTTTAATTCATTCCATTGTTAGAATTGTTCTTATAGTCTTAGATGTTCTGTTGAAACATTCCATTTATTCCATTGATGAATTTATGCTCCTTTAATTCTTAAGTTAGTGTTTTGTGGTTTTATGTTATGACAAATATCTTGTCCTCACTTGATCCATAAAAAAAATTTGGATGCAGGGTTTCTTTTGGATATTGAATTGCTGCAACTGGGATGACGTATTGTATGATTGATGTGTATGAAATCTGTAGGTAGTTAAGTTTTTATAGTGTAGTTGACTCATGTAATATATATATATGTTATATTAATATGTAGTTATTGACTTGTTCTATATCCGGAGGTTGTATCACCAAATATGGATTCTTGGAACAAATAAATTGATTGATTGATGTCATATCTTTACACATTTTCTGGTTTTAGTAATGGTTGACATTTAATTGATTACAGTACTTGAATGCAGGAATAATTGAAATGGAAGCATGCTTCAAGGCAGCACGAATTGCTGTTGAGCAAGGAGGCACCTTACAAGCATCAACATTCCTTCAGAATGTGATCTTTATTAATCTCACTCTCAGTGAAACAGAGAAGGTAAGCAGTAAACCCAACTCTATGATATAAGGTCTTTTCTTAGCTGTTTGATTATTCAGCTAAATATTCCACATTATGAAACACAATGTTGCAGTGCTGTTATCACAAAAGCAATCCAGTTCAGTTAAAAGCAGGCAATTTTTGTATGATCAATGTTTATAGATTCTAAAGGGTTCTGACAGTGGTGTATAGCACTCAGAATTATTGGCTTTTTGGACTTTATCCATCGTCTGATATTGTAAAAACACAGCTTTTGAAAACAGATCCATTTTCCAAAACATGGTGTTCTTTAGAATACCAGATGATAGACAAAGTCCAAAAACCCAGCAAATCCCAATCAATATCAGTGTTATCCTCTCACTTATGACAGTGCTTTCTGTGTAATAATGAAATAGGCATTTGGTATGATAATGTAATATTTTGTGTTAACACCTTTTCTGGATTCTGTGTAATGTAACTGGAGCGCTGCCCATTTACTTCAGACACCAAAAACATTCTTATAATAGCTGTGACTCCTGCTTACAGTTTTGATTGATTGATTGATTGATTGATTTAACATCCATAACTGTTACATTATGTACAATTGGACAAGTCAGTTTTATAAAAAAATATATGAGATTAAACATCACATCAAATGACTAATAATATAGAAAACCATAGAAAAATAACATAATAAATCCTTTAAATATGATAAAACAGTGGATGAGTATAATATGGCAACAAAAGCTAAACTATAAATTACATGCAATATCTAAAATAAATTACCTAAGTATCTTTGTTCTATTATTAAGCTAATTCTTGTAAAAATATTCTTGAAGGGAATAAAAAGCTTCTGTGCTAGGATCTGATTACAACATGAATTAAGGTTTCTGTTTAAGTCCTGATGCTTAATAAAACATTTATAGTATTCTGATACAATAAAAAAAACTAGCTTCTACTTAACTATGAACAAAAAATATTTTACCAAGTTCAAAAGCGCCCAGTCCTAAATTTCAGAACAATCCAATGAAGTGTTCTTTGCCAGTCATCTGTGTGTACATAGACTGAATTTCCACTTCAGAAACTGTCACTGGCACTATCATCAGGGATTGGTGAGTCTAGTGATGCTACTCTACTTGTTTGTTTATTTGTAAATACAGTTTGATGGAGGCAGTAACAGTTTCTGAAATGGGAATCCATTCCCCCTTTACACAGCTGATAGCCTGAAAAGGTGTGAAAGCCGCAAATGTTATACTGGTACAGACTCCACAGATGAACAGTCACTAATTACTCTTTACAGCTTCACTTCTGTTAATGCGGCTTCTTCATTCTTGGAATTTAACTGAACTCTTACAACAGTTTGGTCTGTGCTGTTATTGCTAAATTGTATGATTTTTTTACAGATACAACGATTCACAAGTTTATCAGATCTGTATACTCAGATTGGTTTTCATCGAAAAGCTTCCTTCTGCCGGCGATTGGCTGCCACTCGGCACGTTTCTGCTCAGAATCCGCAGCCTAACTGGTCACAGTGTTACCAGTTAATGTTGCAGGCACTGTCTGGGCACAAGTTGAGTCTGGATCCCACAGAATTTCCCAGAGGTATGAAATTTAATTGAAATGAAAGTCACAAGTATCTTTTCAGATGTTCTTCAATTGCAGTAAAAAAGGGATGAGCTTTTAAGTAGCTAAAGGCTGAGAAGAGAATGCTGAGGAGAATATTTGTCCCTAAAAGGGAAGAAGTAATATGATTCTGGAGAAAAATGCATCATGAGTAGTTTTATAATGTGTACTCTTCACGGAATATTATTAGGGCAGTAAAATGATGAGCTGGACACGTGATAGAAATGCAAAATGTATACAGAATTTTGGTCAGAAAATCTGCTAGGAAGCAACCACTGGGAGCACATGTACATAGATGGAAAGGTATTATCAAAATGTATGTTAAAGCAAAGAGGATGTGAAAGTGTGGACTTGAATCATCTGGTTCAGAACAAGAATCACTGGTGGCACTTACTCAGTGTTGCCATGAACCTTTGGGTTCCATGAAAGGCAGGAACTTTCTTGCTTGAGCAGCTGTCAGCTTCTCTAGAGGGAGTCTGCTCTGTGAAGTTAGCCAAGGATTGTTCAGGACACCAATTTTGAAGAAGTTCTCCAGTTTGAGTAACATTTAATTTAATGTTGTTGACTTATGAGTTGAAATGTGTGCTGTCATGCGAAATGCATTGTGTAATTTGTAAAAACAATCAGTTAAATCTTTTAAGGTGCCTGATGCTAGGATACAATATATGTAAGTGATAAGTAATTATTTATTTGTGTCACTGGTTTCATAACTGATGCATTTTCGTTTCTTTATTATGAAATTTTCCATCGTTCATGCTTTTTTTTTTGTTATTTATTAAATATTTCCCACAATTGTCACTTCATGAGCAGCTGACAGTTATTAAGATGTTAAAGATGTTCCCTACTGTTCTAGAAAACTGAATGTTTGTCGTAATAATTATAAACATGTCATATGAGAGTATCCTTTGCTAGTTTACTAGCTCATAACCTGTTTTTCTTAAGTCTGTTTTAATGTTATTTTTCTACTTATCTGCTTATTGATTTCCAATTTTTGGATTAAGTTAGTCATTTTCTTAGCCATTGTATATGTCCATTGCATCCGAATTCTTTTTATGTAATCATCCCAACATTTAGTGAACAGTGCAGTATGTGGAATTTTACAAGTTATGCAGCCTCCAATAATGTTGCAGGTGGGTTGCAAGGTTGGCCTGCCCTGCAAATTCAGCTGTTACAAGAATTGGTGGTAGCTGCAAGACGTATGGGTCACACTGCCCTGGCCACTCGACACATGACATTCCTTCTGCAGACCATGTGGGAACACCTTTTGCCCACAGAACAGCGAGACTTAGCATTACAGCTGCAGGTGTTAGCAGCCCAGTGTGAAGGAGCACCTGTGCCCTTAGTTCTGAACTCTGGTATCGTCATACCACCAGCAAACCTCACAAACTTACCACAGATACGGTACTGTTTTCTAATATGCACAGTTCTCTGTATATATTTAGATGATCTAATGTGGGTGGAATGTGGTTGGTGGTTTATGTCTGATGCCATTTGTTGACAGTGAAGTAATTTGTGCTTATAACCTTAACTGTTTAGAGTATTTGTAACTTGTTTTCTATTCAGACACCATTTGGACAAGTTGCTTATCCAGTGTACTTCAGTTGAGTTGGATGATGTCAAGTTGTTCCAACTCATGTCTACCAGAGACAATATTTAATGTGAGATTTTAGATTCTCATAGTGGTGACTATAAGGATTGTTGCCTTCTGGGATATGATGCCATGTACTCTGATAGAAGTTTACCAACACTTTAGAGGAGTGCGATGCCACCATATTAAGTGTGAAGATGGAGGTAGCATGTTTCTCTGAATCATCAGTACACTTCTGCCAGACTACACAATGTCACATCCACAGAGACAGGAATTTTCAGATTATCCTCTATTCCTGTGTCTGTCCATCCTTGTTCTCTTCAGCTGCAAATCTTTTCACTTCCCCCCCCCCTTATATCTATGGTTGATTCTTGTTGTATTCTTGCCATATGTATTGACAGTATAGCATGAATGAGGAAGAAGATGAAAGTTACAAATGCTGAGGTGGGTAAGATGTGGAAGAGAGTAATCATGGCCTATTTAAGGTAGTGTTGTAACATTAGCATAGAAGACTGAGTAAAAATGTTAGTATTCGTAGTTGGTGTAGGTAGTCTCCGTGGTAAGGAGATGTGAACTAATGCTTGATGTTTTCCCATTTATAAAATCCACTTTGTGAATGAACAGAGGGGTGCCTGTTCTTCTCTGCCTGCCTGTTATATCTTCTAATGATGAGTGTTCAGCCCATGCATATTTTAAAATACCATAACATATTTTCTGTTATTTCGCTTGCCATATTTTGTAAATGTTTTTTTTTTCTGCCAGGAGTTTTGTACTGCGAAACCTAGAGCCTCAACTACGACCACAGAAGATTGAGAAACTGAAGGAAGACTCAGGCCCATTCTTGTTTACTCCAATTCATTTTGGCTCCTTGGAAAGGAAAAATGTGGTGACCAGCAGTAAAATGGGTATTTTTCTTTTAATTTTATGGGTACTTTTTATATACTTGCTAGATTCTGTAATGGATTAAAATGATTAAGCATTTCGGTTACAAAAAATAGTCTCAGGCTTAACTCAATGGTATACAAATTTCTTTTGTGCATTTGCACCATCTTAACTTCTTTATTACAGTGTCTGCAACTACGGGTTTATTCTGGCCTCCACAGAAGCACAAAGAATAGACATGTTTGTATTTATTGTCAGTGATGTAGGAATAAAGATGAGTGTGTTTTAAAACAGGATTCTGAGAAGATTTGGACCTATGAGAGCTTCACAGTTTATAGTCTTTGTCTGATGTGGTTACAATGTTCAAATCAGTAACAGATGGGCGTGACTTGTAGAATGTGTGGGAAACTCAGAAGTGCATACAAATTACTGTGGAAAATATCAAAGGACAAAACCACTTGGGGTTAATGATGAATTATAGGAGGATAACGTTCAAATTTATCTGAGGTAAATAAATTTTGATAAAGTAAGATTGGGCATATAGTAGCATTTATTTGCTGTCTTTTGAGCAAACATCTGGGACTTCTATTAAAAGATCTTGAAACAAGAAAATCAGAGAAGACAAAATTGTACTGCTTTCTCAGGACAGCATTTATGAGAAATATACAATAACACTCTCATTATTAATGAATTGTGTTTGTGAAACCCATATTTAAGGTTTCTTTTGGTGTTAGTAGATCTGAACACTAGACTGAGGAAATTCTTAAATGGAGGAAGTTTAATACTGAGATTGAAGAGTTCTCTCTTTTGGGATGTAACGCCATTTAGTCCGCTGAAAGTCAACCAACATTTCAGGGCTTTGTGTCACCTCCATTTTTAGGTTTTGAGGGTAAGTCAGGCAAGAAACTAGCATGAAGCAGGCTTTCTTGCTCAGATCCTACATAATACTGAGGTCTTTCACTTGGAATCATTGAAACTGAAAGTTGAAAAGGTAAACCTTAAATTGAGGAACATTAAATGAGGGATTCACTAACTGTTTTTAAAACTGAATCTGTATTTTAGATTATGTTTGGGTCGAAGGAGATGTGTGTGAGGTTGCTATGGAGCTATATAATCCACTGCCATTTGAACTAAAAGTTTTGAATATGGTAAGTACTTTTACAGATGTTACAGATGTGATATGATTATAAAGTGGTGACTTGTTACAAAATTCCTTGTATTTGAAGATGAAGTCACTACCTGCTGTACTACGGTGCTTCCCCACTTCCCTACCCACAGTACTCTCCTGCTCTTGCACTCTGTAATTTTTATTTCTTTCTGTGGGTGAAAGACTGAGTTAAAGAATACAGTGAAGATTCAGGTGACTTAAAAGATTGTGTTGCAGGAAGTCACATGGTCTGACTTCCAGAAATGTTCTGAACAATAAAAAATGGTAAGAGAAACGAGGATCTCCTGAAGGACACTGAAGTAGGTACATGTAAAAGCTTCTTAGTACTGCAAGATTCAGGATATGACTCATATCCCTGAACTTTGTGAAGCCACTACACATTTATCTGAATTTAGTTCAAGATATTTACTCAAATTTCTAATTAAATTGACAAGACTGTAATTTATATGCCATGTTCATCTGTAACTGTAGCAATCTCAGTCCTAGAAAGCCAATAGTATATGTTGCTAAGATCTAGAAGTTTGTGACAATTGTGCATTAATACAAATATTATGTTTCTGGACATTATCCAACATCCTGTTTTTATCTGAAACAGGACAGTGGATAATGTCCAGAAACATAATATTTGTAAAATATGTCACACTTGCTCTAGGGGGCACGTGGTAGCATAGTTGGTTGAGGCACTATGCTACAAGCCAGAAGGTCACGGGTTAAATTCCCAATGAGTTCATTGGATTTTCATCAATTGACCTAATCCTTCTAGCTGCACTATGGCCCTGGGGTTGACTCAGCCTCTAACAGAAATGAGTACCAGGAATATTCTTGGTGTTAAAGGGCAGCTGGCGCATAGGGCTGACAACCTTGTCGCCATTTATGAGCCGACTGTCTAGAAAATGTGGGAACCTGAACATCTCACAACCCTATGGGCCTCCACGGCCTCTATACCTTTACTTACTTTTTTACTTTTATGTCACACTTGCTCTCACTAAGTACAGTCACGTTTTTCCATTTATATTCAGTGAATATTGCAACTTGCTGATAAGAAGTGCCTATAATAGTTTAACTTTTTTTTTTCACTTTTACTACCAGAATTTTATGTGTTGTAGAATAAATGTTTAATTAGAGTCTGAATAAAAAATAACCATATCAGTAATATAAACCATTATACTAGTTTATCTGAGAGCTTTGTTTTAGCGTCTTCTTACAAGTGGATCCGTTTTTGAGAGCTTGCCTACTTCACTTTCATTACCACCAGAATCAGGCCCACACCCTGTAATTCTGTCTGGAACACCTAAAGAAATTGGAGAATTGGAAGTCTTAGGTAAGTTGCAATATTTATGTCTTTTTTAACATTCAAAACTAAACCATCTCCTCTCATTAGGAAAATTTATTTAGTTCATGGGTAGTTTATTGTTAGCCTGACAAACACAAAAACCTTAGACTGTGGATGTTTGCATTAAACATGTAATGTTTTTATATATAAAGGGTTTATGTTCACATTCTCCCAACCATCTTACTCTTCATTCTTGACAGTTTTCGTGGTATTTACATTCCAGTCTTCGTCCCTGGCCTCTTCATGCTGCATACAAGAACTGGCACTTCCATTCCCAGAGCCCAAGGTTGATTTCAGGTCACAGATCAAATTTAGATAAAATATTATCTATATTGCCTTTCATACGTTTTTGAAATAGAATTGCTTTTTAATGTGTTATATAAGGTAATGGTAAAATTGTTCCAGTGCCATGTTATGAAGGAATATAAGGGGAATGAAAGTAAAAAGCGCCTTAAATTCTTTTCTTTTTATTGTTGTGGGGTGGGACTAAGTCCCTTGCACTGTGGCCACTTCTGGCCTAGTGTACCAGCCTCAGATGATAGGTGAGGATGAATGTGGGGCAGATGGTGGAATGAAGATTGGCAGGGGAAAGCAAAGTACTTGGAGAAAACCTGCCCCAGCACCACTTTGTCCACCACAAATCCCACTTGACCAAACCCGGGCCGCCGTGGTGGGAAGCCAGCAACTAACCTCTTGAGCTATGGCGCAGCCTCCTTACATTCTTAGTCTTGGCTCTATATGGAGGCAAATGATTGATTTCACTTCCTGCTTTATCACCACTGGAAGAGTCTCCAGAACTCATAGGACTAGAAGGCTGGAGGGGCCCAGAGAGTCATTCTTGATGAGGCACCAAAGAAAAAAATCCCACATCCCGCATAGACTGCAATTCTTTCCATCGAGCTCATAACCTTTAACTTTATTGATTGAAATATCCCAGCTTATTTACCATCATAATTACAGCCATGTTATTGACATAATCTAGGTAAAATACCTGCGGAATAAGAGACTGGCCACTACCCGTGTTTGAAGTGGTAGTTGTCTGTAAATGGTGATGATGAAATATTGAATTTCATCTGTATTTTTTCAGGCTATTCTACACATACACTAGGTGTGAAATCTAACTGTAGGTTACGTCATATTGGCGGGTTTCCACACCCTCAGTATTCAGTTGATGTTATATCTGCCCTACCTAAAATGCAGGTACGTTGTTTTAATCTAAGTTTCACTCTCCATCTTACATATATAAACAGGTATTCCTCAGTCTTTCCAGCTTTATGTGAGAATAGTACCTTAAATGAGACCACTGTCATTTTGTATCACATCCCTCTTGAGTCATCATGATCCCTTAATATTTCTAAGGGTGTCTTCCTATAACAAATTTGTCTCAATTCTTCCCTATCTTTCAATAAGCATCTCCATTTTTTCACTCACTTGGCATCATCTTGTCCTTCCTTGATCTCAGGAATGATCATGTGTCTGGCAGCCTCATTTTTGAACTTTGAAGGAATCCCATCATCATCTGTATGTGATGCATGTCCTTACCAGTTTGGGCAGTTTTTTTTCTAATCATTCTACATGTAAATGTTGTGTAGTTGTTGTTGTTGTTGTTGTTGTTGTTGTTATTGGAGAGGGTGGGTTTCCCCATGCACTTAGACCAGATATTGGTCCATTGTGCGGCCCCCTGTGGTATTCTACCAGTCTCTATACCCTACCGGTACTGGTGTGTGCCATCAGTCCCGACTCAGCCAGCGAGTTTGGCCTCTACTGGCTCAGCGGTATCTTGATGCTTCCCCCATCTACCAGAGGCGTTAGAGACTACTGTTGGGCGGGAAATGTCCTGAATTTGGCTCAGAGGTCCCCTTGAGACATGAGGTTCTTTTACGTGCCGTAAAGCTATGACACGGGACCCACGGCTTAAAGTCCCTCACGGAGGACTTGTTCCCTGAATTTTTCCGCCCTTAAAAATTCCACGACCTCCACGAAGTTTGAACCCGCGTACCTTGAGTCACAAGGTGGGAATGTTACCCCTAGACTATGGAGGCCGCTTGTTGTGTAGTTACTAAGTCTTGGATTTTATTGCTCCAAAGTCACCATTCATAAAAATGTTACCCTATGTTTGTCACAGAATTGTGAAACAGTTAAATAACCTGTTGTTGTTTGATGTATTGACCTTTTTATAATCCTGATTTTAGTGTATCATATTTGATACATAACTACTATCACTATATTTTTTCAGGTCTTGACATCTCTGCCGAAAAGTGCATCTTCAGGTTCTGTAGGAGACACAGTGACTGTAGCTACAAGCACAAACATAACGTTATATGCTGGAGAGAGGTATGGCATACAAATATTTGTAAAATTAATTAAATATTGGATATAAAATTGACTGAATTGCATTGGTTATTTACAACGTCCAACATATCTGGGATCAAACTTAAGCAAAGCTTGAATTAAGTATAGTTAAAACTTCACTTGAATTTTTGTAGTGGCATTTCTGAATATTTATCATTATGCACCCATGTCTATTTCATTGGAGCCTCATTTGTGGTGAAAGTAGAGGAAGATTAGATGCAGACAGAAGGGAAGGATTTAGAAGAATGTAGAGAAGAATGAAAGACTTTATCATAGGAAGTCCAGTCTTGGTGGAAACTTGGACAACGACGATGATGATGATGATGATGATGTTGTTGTTGTTGTTCTTGTTCTTGTTCTTGTTGTTGTTGTTCAAATACAAAATTATTGTATGCTCTGACAGATCTTCTGAAACACCAGAACGTGATGTTATAGTATGGAACGGTTCCATTTGTATGTGTATGTCTTTAAACCAGTTTTTTCTGTGTACTTAGCTATTGTGGACATCTTACTGTACCAGAGTGGTGATTGAAATGTTTCAGTGCTGAATGTGGTGTGACTCTAAGCAATGTTGGGGAACTGCCCATCGAAATGGTGGAGGTGTCAGTGCACTCGACACTAGAACCCTCATTGCAGCAGCAGGTATTCCAGTGGAGCCAGGAGAACCTCCAGGCCCAACTCCCTCTCCAGCCTGGAGCTGATGCAAGCTTCACCATCTATATATACTCTTTGACAGATTTCCTCACACCTGCTGTAGTATTTGAACATGGTGAGTGGAATACTGAAAAATGAAGTGAACTGATGTTCTTTAATGAGAATAAAAAGGTTTATTCCAAAGGAGTGCATATATTTTCAAAATGCATTGTTGCTGTTTTTGCTGTTGCTGCTGCTGTTGTTATATAGCAATTTTTCCTGATTTTCATTCTTATCCATTACCATTATGTATTTCCAAAATATAGAGCTTGATGTACAGACAGTGAAACAAATGGATACTGTGAATTGCATGTATGCATTTATCATATCAGAAAATTTTAAGTAAAAGTTGTAGATTCTAATAATATATATTTTATGCCATATATTTTACCATTTGCTTGTATGATGAGCCATTTTCTGAGAAAATTTATGAAGTTTTATATGAGCTTCATGCAAAGTAGGTGTTTATTGGACTGCTATGAACCAAAATTAACTTGCATAACATCTTTTATTGTCAACTCCTGATACCAGATTTATACAAATCTGTTCATAATTTTAAGGTCTAAATATGCAGACATACATGGCTTTCCCTCACCTTTAGTAAATGCCTTATTACAAAATTATGTTCTAAGAAGTTTAATTTTAGGGGGGTTTAATTCTCAGCCAGTTCACAATCCAGATTTATGTTTATATGTGTTTTTTTTTTCTATCATTCCAGGTAAACACCAGACTACTAATACCTTAAACTACGTCATGAATACTTCCTCTCATCTCTTCGAATTCATTACTCATAATTCTGCCATATTTTGTTACTACATAATCAGAGAAGTCAGTCAGATAATATTCAACAGAATTGTTGCTCTTGATTTATACTTTGTAGATGTTGCAGCAGTCTCACTTGTTATTAAAGTATGTTTCTAATTTATAGATGCAAGCAGCACAGCCTATGGCAGCCAGCCAGCTAGCTTCTTATCAGGACCCAGTTCTCTTCCATCTCGACTTAGCTCCCCTACATTTGGGAGAGAACAAGCATCGAGAAGATCCGAATTGACATCTTCATTCAGGTGAGTCTGGTATGATTTTTTTATGTATTCCTTGCACAAAATTCAGAAATTTAACCCAAAATGATCATCATGTCTCTCTGTTTGCATGTTTAATTTCTGAGGCTACTTCGTGGATTTAAGTGAAATTTGATACTAAAAATGCATACCAAAACTCTCACATTTGGTTTTTGTGGTTACTGGTCTCTTAGAATGTCTACTTTGCATGATGCTCAAATTGTTCTGAGTTATGTCTTTTGGGCTATAACACTCTGTAGTCAGGTGAAAGTCAACTGACATTTTGAAGGAATATGTCACTCCATCTTCAGAGTTGTTTGCTGCCCTTCATTCTGGTTTCTTACTTGGCTTACACTTCAACCCTGAAGATGTTCCTGCAGAACATAGTTGACTTTCACTGGACTACATATCATTATATTATATAATAACCACCAATGTGAGAACCTCAAGTACTACAAATGTTTCTGTGTTTATGTAGTGTGATATCTGTAGTGATATCACCTTCACAACATACATAGATATTTATGTACAATGAATGGTCATATAGGTATGCAAAATAGCAGTTAACTTTTGTTTGTTTATGTATTAATTTAGCAGTACAGCACATTGTTTTCTGTGAGATTTTTGAAAATATTTGGTTTGTTGTAAATTAGTAGAACTAGGACATAACAGTAAAGTTATCACTGTGCTTAAGTAAGCAAACTGATTCACATTGGAGAGTGGAAGTATATTTCTGTGCATTTTTTACCTTGATACTAGATCAGAGTATGTGGTCGGCTTCAGTCCCTGGTCACTTTATGATCTGGGGAAACCTCAGTACTCATTGGACAGGAGGCAGAGTGGTCCCCAGAGCTGCTCTTGGCCTTGTGACAAAGAGAAAATTTTCTTCCCCTACTAGGAAATGAACCCTAGTAATCCATCCATACCCAGTCTCTGTACTGACTCAGTTACTTCAAACCCTAAAGTTGTCAGTAATGGTGTAATTTAAATTACTGTACTAGCATTTGTCTAAAAAGATGAAGGGAACCATAGAAAATCCTGGCGGAGATAGCTGGTTGTGAGATTTATTCAAGGGACAGCCATGGTGCAAGTTATGTGTGCTACGCTATCAGCTGTGTACATCAAGAAATAAATGTTCAAGTTAAGTCACGGTGATTTTAACCAGTAGTTCTAATTGAGAAACCAGGCATGCACTGGAAAATATACTGTAACACTAAAAAAGAGATCATAGTGTCAGATGTGGCCACTTTCTGTTTATTGTATTAATTGAAGCCAATATAGTATTTGAAAGTCTTTGTCTTAAGACAAGTAGCATAAGAAGAAAATGAGCTGGAACTGAAACATTCATCTTATTAAATGCTACAACAGTTTTGCTGGTATACTTTTCAAACCAGTCATGATTTATAAAAATAAATCTATTTATATATTCAGTTTTGCCTGAAAAAATTGTAATGGTCTCTAAGTATTAAAATTAGACTTAAAAAATGCAATGAGTGAGCAGTGTAATGCAGACATTTAAAACCTAATACAAAACTTTTATAGAATATGAAGTGAGATCATAACATTTCAGTAGATGTAAAACTACAAGCAGCATTAACAAAATGAGGTTTATGTGTGCACACACATGCACACATGCACAGAAGGAGCTGTTTTCCAGAGCCCATTGTGAAATTCAATATATTATCACCTGTAGCCATCATTCATGTGTGTGTATATGTTCTGGACCCATAGAAGGCAGAAATGTCATCAATATAGAGAGATGTCAAGACTGATGGGCCAAGTTCATGCTATAATACTTCTAATTTTCTACCACCAACAGATCCAGCAGTTGCCCTGTTTCATTGTAATAAGGCAAGTTTAATTTATAGATCAGGTGGCAGCAGCCATTCAGGAAGCAGCCTTGGTTCATCTCGTTTGCCCTTTTCCAAGCTTAGTGCTCCAAATGCATCAAAGGTGAATATTTAACACGGTAATAAACCCAATCTTATGTTCCATTTGAACATACAAAAATATAAAGATGTGATGGGTACAAATGATTTTAATGAATTGTGTATGAATATGTGTTTGTTCCTATTCTGTATACTGCATGATATTGTGCAGAATAATTCAGTATCTGTTGCTACTTAGAATTTGTTTGTATTCAGTAAATCTCAGATTATCAAAATTATTGGTGCTCAAAATTTTGGACTTCATTGTTTGGGATTTTGAATTATATGTATGTTATGAGTCTGTATACATGTAGTGTATTGTATTTGCTGCAGCCCAAAGCTATGTTTGTTATTGTAATATTTTACTGTAGATTTTTACATTTCACATCATTTGTTTACTTTGAAGCATTAATAACATTGAGAGAAGACCTCAAAATGCAATAAGCAGAAGAGTCTTTGAGATTTAAAATGACAATAAATTTAATAAGGATTCACCCAACACAGTTTCTTTTTTCTTCCTCAGTGATCAGTTGTGTTAGCTTATATCAACTGTGTGTATTATCCATCAGAACACAACACTCAAACATATAACTGATATAAGTTAACGTATCCGGATGCATTTCTTAAAGAATTGTGTTAGAATTATCATACCATATCCTGTCATTTGTAATTTTAATAACATGTTTCGCAGGTCATGGAAGGGCAACTAAAGTTGAGATACTCTGGTGGAGCAGGCCAAGAAGCAGGATACTGTCGGGTCAGTTCTGTCACTCTTAGTGTTGAAATGTTGCCTTCTGTACAAATCACAAACTGGGATGTTCTTCCAGCAGAGACGTGAGTTATATTTTCTTGCAGTCTGCCCACATCTTGTTACTCTGAAGCATTGCTAGTATTGTTTAGTGGTGCATAGGAGGGGAGGTAAAGGGATGTGTGTGTCCTATATTGCAGAAATTCTCAGTTCTACCTAGTTCTGGACATTGCTAACATTACTAGTCATGAGTTGGAACTGCAGTACACTCCATCCAAGTGCATCTTAATTGAAGGAAATGAGTCCTGTCGTATCCCTGTACCAGTTAATCGTTGCCCTCTTTCTAAGCTTACCAAGGTAAGTCTTTATCCTATTTTAATTATTCTGAATATAGACACTAAGGACTTGATAGACCAACATGTCATATGGAAGTGATGTATCGTGCAGGAGAAGGATTAATGCAAGAAAATATGTCATCTCAGATATGTTTCATGAGATGGACAGCAGAGTGCACCCTTTGTTACTCATAAAATAAACTGTAAAATAATGACAGAACTCTTGTTGAGATGGTGAGTTCCTCAAATAACCAGTGGATACCAGGGTAACTTTCTTAGTATACTTAGGCCGTGATATTAGTTGATCAGTCTTTCTGTTTTCAGCTCCAGTGATTTTGAATGGCATAGTGCTAGGGTGTGAGTTTGCATGAAAGAATGATGTAATTTGAACTGTCTTTGTCATCCAGCTTTATCAAGGTGGAAAAATTTCTGCTGATGATCGTCTAGAATTAGATCAGATATGTAGTGAGCACATTGCATCTTCAGTGGACTTACGCTGGCACATTCTGTCAAGTGGTACAAGGGGACGAGTCTCCCTGAAAGGAATTACTCTAACTCCAGAGATGCTGGATCTTGTCCGCATGTCACCATTACAGTGGGGTATGTATTGTTCCTTCTATATCATTGTGATAATATTACAAAAGAATAACAAGGGGGTTCATTGTTCTAAAAAACATTAACCCAGTTTAGATTCAGTTCTTGAATGAAGGTTTTGACCCTTCTTTTGAAAATTATACACTTCTTGGGTATGGAACATTTTTTATGAATTTCCTCATTTATGTGGAAGTTTTTCTAATGACTGTATTCTCTGCAACCACTGGAACATTTAATACATTCATTACGTATTTCGGTTTAATAAGCCACCTTCATTATTGATCTGCAGGCAATCAAAGTAAATGTTATTATGGAGGTAGATTTATAAGTGCTGGGAATGAAGCATTTTGTATTTATCTCTTTTGTTAGGTCCAGTACTTATATGACAAAGAATGTGTTGGTCATATCATAGCTAATGTTATATCTACTCAAATGCAGTGTCTTGAATATCCAACACAGTACATTTTGTAAAGAGTAATTTCAACTATCTGTTCATGTCATTTTCCAGGAAGGATTAGAATTACTTCATTTGCTTCAACAGTAAATGTATGCATCTCCAAGCAATTTTTTCTAGGAAGATGGCGTTCTCAGCACCATTTCCTTATAATGCAGTGTAGGGGGAAATAATATAGTATCATGTCCAGCATTCATTCATGTGTTTGTCACCACATAATAGATTTTGAATTAATGTATGATTTTTTGTGAAACTGTATGATCACTAGGGGCCACTCCACCTTCATAGTTTTAATATCTTACCAGCAACAACATGAACATGGTGACTGCATACTTCTGTAGCAAGAGTGGTACTAGAAGTGCTTAATATAGGACCCTGAAATTTGGCATGGAAAAGGCTGTTCAGTGACATGACAGCCTCTACATCCATCTGGGTCTTAGTGTAATGATAAGTAATGGACATTAGAATTAGGCATGTGAAATTTTATTTGTAGATTGTTTAAACTTTTGCCTAAAATTGTTGTTTGAAACTTGGTTTATGTGTTAAAACTTAAAGGATAAGAAGAGTGAAAATTATGTGTAGCAAATATGACATAGCCAGAATCTGTATTAGTCAAAATCAGGCACAGAGTTAGGTTTGATTTTATAATTATTTATACATTAATAATGATGATAAAAAACATAATATACAAGGGTTGGAACTTTAATAGTGGCAACACTGCTGTAGGGACGCCATGTAACAGAACCAAATAATGTCGCTTATACCACATGTTAGTTACATACCTACCTTACCTCAGAGCAAATGGACTCTCCCTTCCCTTATCACGCGCATGCACAGTGATGAGAAGAACAGAGCCTCGTGTTAGCTGGCGGTCTAATGTGGTGTTGTCACGATGTTTTTGAAACAGGAAAAACGGAGTTGGATAAAGATTGAGTGTGCCAGAGGCCATACAGCATGAAAGTATCATCAGGGTCTTCAAGAGGCTTGCGGGGAATCTGCATTGCCTTACAGAACAGTGGCAAGGTGGATAAAAGCCTTCAACAAGGGACGCCAAAATGTGGCAGACATGCGTCAGCCAGGTCGTCCTAGTGTCAGTGAAGAAGAGGTGTATGCTCTTTCCATGTTACTGGAGAGTGATCGACGCAATACGATTCGAGAGCTGGCCCGAGAGACAGGATTAGCCCATATGACTGTGCTTCACACTGTGAAGGAACGCCTGGGCATGAGAAAAATTGCATCACATTGGGTTCCACAGGATTTGATGAAAATGCAGAAATGGCTACGATATGACGTTGCTTGTAAACACTTGGAGCACTATGAGCGCATAGGAGAGGCTTTCTTACACCATATCATTACACTCGATGAGACATGGACCAAATCGTACGAGCCACAAATGAAACACCAATCGAATGAATGGTGTCATTACGGGTCACCATGAAAATCAAAAGTTCTTCAGAACCCCAGCAGTGTGAAAGTTATGGTGATTCTCGTATACAACTGTGATGGTGTTATCCTAACGCCTACCGTTCTCTGACAGCATTTTGTCAATGCGCAGTATTACTGTTCATTTTTGAACAGGACCTGCGACCAGCTTTGAGAAAGAAGCGGCAACAATTTCTTCAGAACCCACCCATCATTTTGCAGGACAATGCTCAGCCGCATGCAGCACAAGCTGTGGCTGATTTGTTTGATCGACAGGGCTAGGAAGTGCTGTACCATCCACCATACTCCCTGTACTTAAACCCTTGTGACTTTGACTCGATTCCTAAGATGAAGGAACCACTTTGTGGCATTCGCTTCAGAACTGTTCCAGAGATTCTTCAGGCAGTAGACCACTCCATTCGAACTATCAACACAACAGGCGCTGCTAAAGGTATCCTATGACTTCAACATCACTGGCAATGGGTTGTACACAATGCTGGTGACTACACTGAAGGACAGTAAAACTTTGAAACATGCATCTATTTTGTATCAGTTGTAAATAAATAGTTGCCACTATTAAAGTTCCAACCCTTGTACATACAGTAATATGTTCCTGCTATTCTTATTGGATGAAAGAAAGGGTGGAGAGAAATGTTTTGTCCAAGAGTCATATCTTCCCATTCCATGAGCTGTTGCACATATCTGTTGGCAGAAGTGACACTGAACTCGCAGCCTGTGAAACCCCAGGAAGAACTGAACTGCCGCGCAGGTCAGTGCCTTCAGCTTGGCATCTCCATACACAACTTTCTGGAGAGGTCACTGTGGCATGTATGCTTGGCAGTGCAATTCTACCAGGACCACCAAAATGGTGTAAATAATTACCGTCTGGAAACTAGACTAGCAAGTGCAGGTGCATCTAAAGTTATTCTTCCAGAGGTAAGAAATTGTGTACTATAATTGACTGCTATGTTATTAAGCAGCATGTCTAATGTCCTCAGGTATTGTCTGTCTGAATTTCTTGGCCTCTTCTTGCCTCAGCAATGGTAGAGGAATACATTTTTCAAAAGGTTAATACTGTGTAGGAAAATAATGGTACCTGAGGGCCCGATGTTAATATTCACCCTTTCCTTGTNAAAAGTTATTCTTCCAGAGGTAAGAAATTGTGTACCATAATTGACTGCTGTGTTATAAAGCAACATGTCTAATGTCCCCAGGTATTGTCTGTCTGAATTTCTTAACCTCTGCTTGCCTCAGCAATGGTAGAGGAATACATTTTTCAAAAGGTTAATACTGTGTAGGAAAATAATGGTACCTGAGGGCCCGATGTTAATATTCACCCTTTCCTTGTGTGAGAGAAAGGAATAGAATGTGGAGAAACCCACCATGGTTTCAGACAGTCTTGAACACAACACATTTGGCACAGAAGTTGAACACCTTACTCGTAGACTGCCAAAACCCAACATGACTTGAAACGTGTATTTCAGTGAAGTACACATATTTCTCAACTACTTTATTTGCTTTTTATGTACCTTATTGTTTATTATTGCCGATAATGAGTTTTTTATGTTGTATTTTAGCGTCCTGTTGCACTGATCTTCGTCCATGATATGTAAGCAATGTCCGTCTTTTAGTGCACTCAATTTTACTTGTTACTTCACAACATGTTTCGGCACTACAGAGCCATCATCAGGTGCTCTATTTACGTCAATCTATTTCATTGCTTGCCATTACGTCATTGTAAAATTTAAAAAGTATTTAAAAATGTTCGTCAATTATAATAAATATATATACTAAAAACTTGTTAAGATTATTTATCTTATCTGTCCCAATTCTAACACCACGCATAGTTTCACCACTATGGGAGTCGTTCCTCTTATTCTCAGGGTATATCGTGTCTAGTGTTGCATGTTCCCTGTTTGGTTGCGGGTGTTGTAGTACAACACCTGCAACCAAACGGCACTGTAGTGCCGAAACATGTTGTGAAGTAACAAGTAAAATTGAGTGCACTAAAAGACAGACATTGCTTACATGTCCTGGACAAATGAGTTTGTTGCTCAAAAGTTGAATGCACAACAGGTATTATCCTACAGAGTTATAAATTATTTTTTTCTGATTTCATGAAGCATTTTTTATATGTAATGAATGTTGTAAATGTTAATGATATCTGGATGTTTTGCTATGATTAGCCATTTTGAGAAATATAAGAAAATTGAGTTTGGGATTTATATAAAGTAGGTACTGTAGTTTACAGATACCAAAATTAAATTTGTTAAAGAATACTATATTATATTTAAGCATCCTGTTGCACTGTACACTTCTATATGTAATAATACAAATGCCGTCGTCAATGCAACAATTTATTTGGTTGTAGTTCTTTGTCTTTTCTTCCTCTACACTACATGTTTTGGCCGTAACTGGCCATCATCAGGTGTATTTTTCACTATGTAGCTGTCACACTGCACACGATCCACAATCTAAAACATCAGCCTGTCAGTTTTGTTTAAAATCTCACCAATATACGCTTGTCAATTTTGATTTTAGAATTCCAGTTGAAAAAAAAAATTTAAAATTCAAAATTTAAAGTTTTAAATCACAGGGATACCTGCTCTGTGTCTACATGTGCTGCGGCAGCTATTTCTTGTCTCCAGCACCGTTCATGTATTATCTGTAATACACAAATATTCGTATTACTATCCTATGTTCCTACATTATTCTTATATGTTTCATACTGTTGTGTGTACTTACTCTGTGCAGGCTCTCTGTGTGTGTGTCACTGCTAATATTTAATACTTTTGCCGTCTGGTGTGTTGTGTGCTGTGTTTTTATGTTGTTGAGTGTAGGAGAGGAAGGGGTAGTGTGGAGGGGGAATACCGTTAGTCTGTATAGATCTCGCATATTGTTTGAAATATGGGATTATGTGTTTCTACGTGTGTGTCATTCATGTGTAGGCCTTTCTTACTTACTTTGTATATATGGTATTTCTCTAGTGTATTCACAACTGCATTTGTATTATTACACATAGAAGTTGTTAAAGAATTTTTAGTGTTGACCCCCAGTGCCAAATTAATTTAAACACATTCAGTAGTTTCAGAGGTGAAACATGTAAATAGACAAGATAGATATGACCTTCATAGTATTTGTTCATTTTATGCACTGTATGCAAAGAACACGTCAAAATTAAAATTGAGCTATCAGAAACTAATTTTGCACAGAGAAATCTCTACACATTGCGTGTAATGGCTAACAACTACAGCTCTGTATGTTTGAATTAGGTGCAGGTATGTTCATTTTGTTTAGTACAGTTTTGATGGGTAATGCAGTTACTGAACTTTGTTTCTGAAAAGTGTGACAAGAGTGGCCTTGTGTTGCACATCTGATCTCTTAGACATTAATATATTTATTTTGTTTACAAGGCCCATGTTTTGTTTTGAATTTCAGCTGGAGGAGCAGGGCAGTGCATATCATGAATGTAGCATTGTGTTCTTCACTCCTGGCCAGTACAAAGTTGATATTCAGTGCTCTTCCCAGGACAACCATCCTACAGAAGACAAAGATCAGACCCTGAATGATATATGTCACACTTGGAAGTTTACTCCACCTGTTGCCATAACAGTTGTTGATGAATGAGTTTACTCAGATCATTATTTATACTGCCCTTGTCTCAGTTGAATGTTCCTGCAATGAAAGGAGCATGTTTGTATGGTTGCAGCTACGAGACTTATGTATGTAGGAAAACCACTTAGTATGCTGTTTGATTTTGTTTACACAAAACACATGCATAAATTAATTCAAATATTTGAAAATAAATGGCCCAAAATTGTAAGTTAATCTGTTGTAGAAGTGCATTACAGATCACCCACATAAAAGTTGAAATATCGATGGAAGAGGACAAGGAGGAAAATGAAGAAGAGGATATTACAGTTTTGTCAAATAAATGAACTATTTAAACTTTATAAGATTTGACGTTTTATGGCAGTGAGTGCAACCTGCAACAGTAACTTATTGTTATTCACAATAAGTGATTATGAAAGGTAATGAAATATGCCATATTGCATTTTGAAAACGTGTCATTACATTACTGTGACAATAGACTAGAAGTTATCCAGCAAGCTGGCTTAAGGAGTATCGTTTCTATATTGCATTCTTGAGGTGCCTAGTTCAAATCTCAGCCAGGACACTATCTTCTTGGTTGGGGGGGGGGTCATGGTTTTCCTCAGCCCCTCCAAGCAGATGCCAAGATAGTACCATAAATTTACCCATAACTGCTTCCTTTCATATCCTTTCCATTTCATTATTTATTATCTTCCAGTCATTTGACATTATCTTCTGAGTTACTTATGGCATCCTCAAATAAACTGTAAACTTTCCCATCTTGATACCTTCTTTCTTGATGAAAGAGGAATAATGAAAGCATTTGGGTCACCCTGTGTAATTTGCGTTATACTTGCAGTGGTCAGTAAGTCTTGATGACAGAGAAATAGAAGTAAAATGTGGTCACATTTTATACAAATTTGAAATAGAGCAATATAAAAAATATTAGTTAAGTCTTACTTCATGCACAAAGTTTGAAATAATACAAATCCCACAAAAAATTAGCAATAAACAGGGTGTTTCACGACTTTAGGGCATAACTGCAGGAGGTGATTTCCTAGGTCTTTGTGATCAAAAAAGTTCATATAAACATGTGTCCGATTTTGAACGGTTACAGGGTTATGACCGTTTTAAACTCAGAATAGAAGGTAACGATTACTGACAATAAACGGAACAAAATAATAAACCAGCATAATACATGATACATTTAAAGTATGACTATAAAGTTAACTTCGTGAAATTACCTTTAATTTGAACTGATTGGTGCTTAAAGCTGATTTTCGAAAATGTCACCGCCAGCTGCAACGCAGGCTGCGGACATACCAACCCACCATGCCTTAGGTACCTCTCAAGTGTCGAGATAACGAGAACGCTCTGTCTGTAGCTGGCTAAAAATAGCGACCCGCCAGATGACAGACGTGGTTCACATGAGGGCGTGTACGGGAATGAAAAAACGGTCATAATTCCGTAACTGTCCAAAATTGGACACATGTTTATATGAACTTTTTTGATCACAAAGACCTAAATTCGTGAAACATCCTGTATATATATTCCTATGAAAAACCTCGTCTTGAATTGTGTGAGGTCTTCAGGAATGCTTCCTTCGCACAAAATGCAACCATGCTGTAATTTACTTCCATTACAACCCAGCTTTATCCATATCTCCTACTTTCTTCTGAGTGGCAGGACAGTGCCTCTTTAAGTAAAGTGATTGATGAGATGTAATGTTTTTGTATTCGCTTGAATATTTATAATATTGTATTTTATTGATTATTGAAACACACATATTAATTTATTTAGTAAATTTTCAATGCTATCCATATGCATTGTGTTGGATCATGACAGAGCACTCTTTTTTTTTTTGAGGTAATTTGTATCAATATTCCTGAGTCTTTTCATACTTAGTTGCATTCTGTTGTTCATGTGTATTTATTTCATTGTTAATATTTCCTATGTTTCTATGTATTTATTTCATGGTTAATTTTTTCACGGTAAACAGAAAGTAATCCTGATATTTCATGATAATGTTAATATTGTATAATGTTGAGGAGAAATATATATTACCAGACTGCTCAAATTACTTTCTCTGATAATTAAGAAAGTTGAAAATGCTTGCTTGCCACAACTAAACTCTTGCCATGAAGGAATTCAAGATCTAAATTGCTATGTTGTCTTACAATAGGTGATGCATGTAAACGTATTTTCAGACTTTCAATATGACGTAACAGTTTACATCTAGTTTTCTGGTGGATTAAATTTGGCTTGCACAATTTGTGTAACTTCTTGTACCTGCCTAGCCAGCACTTCCAGACAGTAAAATCAGTAAATATAATTTGGGATGCCAAATGTAATCATATGTTCCCACAAGACAAATTTGTAAAATCTCTGTTTGTAATTATGGAATACCACTTACAACTCCATTAACAAAGGTTTAAAATTTGACCACATTAGGGTTATCTTCTTCATTTACTTGAAAATTTTTAGCATGAGAGAGAGGGTAAGGGATTCATTATAACAATTTATTTGGTATGTAAATGTACCTCAGATTCACAAAATAAATTACTTTGAATGGAGCTCGTGCTTAAGTCTCAAAATGAGGTAACAAGAATTCATAATATTGTCATGATTTGGGGGTGAGTGACTGTAGATGGGGTATGGATTGGGTATTGGATTTAGTGACCACATATACACCACACAGAACTACACTTTACACATCACTGACACACACAACTTAGTGTCCTCAGCCTATTAGTCTCCACTAGCCATTTCCTGGCAACAGTGTTAACACAGTAGAGATTCTTCAGCTTCCCACGCTCAGGTCCTCTTGTCACAATCACCTGTACAGAACTCTTGTCAACTGACACCTCAACTAACTGGATCTCAGGCTGGCGGCCATTTTACACCAACCTCCTTGTCTTCTCTTTGCAGGCTGACTTTCAATTAAACTGCACTTCAGTCAGAGTCAGAGTTACTTTACGACTGGCAGTTTACTGCCAGTCAGTTCGTCTTGGCATCAGGCCCCTTGAGGCCCACGACCAGAGATTTTTTTTTCAACTGAACTCTTGCGGTAATAGTCCTTATGTAACATCATCTCTGACAAGAAGATGGGTCTGTCTCGTATGAATACATTCGACCTTTCGTCAAGTGTATATTTTGCACATATAATGTTATCGAATACTCTTCCTTTTGCTTTACACACAAATCCTCTGTAGGTACTGGCTTTACAGAGCAGATCATTCCTAACTTACAGATCTTATGCTACAATGAAGACTTAGTCATTTGAACGGTCATAAGCTTGACCACCGCCAAGTTTAAGCCTTGAACGGTCATAAGCTTGACCACCGCCAAGTTTAAGCCTCTTATATTTTCCGTGTCTGGCTTCACCTTGTCCTATACCACGAACATGTTCAGTATCATGATTTTCTATGACTTCTGCTTGTCGTCTGCACAATTTTGTTACATAATCATATACATGTGGAACATTGAAAGTCGTGTGCAAGTCACGGACTGGTGTGCACCTTGGAAAATTTCCAATGGTGCCCAAAACCTTGTTTTGAATGTGCTGCAATTTTAGGAGATAGGTGTCTGACCCTAATTCCCAGGCGATAGACTGGATGTCATTTCCGCGGGAGTGTGTTTACCAACCGTTAACCAAGCCATGTGTTGCTCTTCACAGTCGTTACACAACAACATTTTAGTGCAAACAGCAACAAACCTGGCAAAGCTTCCCAAAATAAAAGTGCAGACTTCTTCAAGATGCAACAAAGCAAGAACTTGAGTGCTCTCTATTGGGAAGCAAGAAGCAAAATGGGCTAAATGATGCCAAATGCAGCCACTGGAAACCAACCAACCATCATTACTACATGCTGCAATGTATTATGTCAGACACTATTCATTGTCATGGCATCTGTGCTGGCAGAGACTTTTAAGAAGTCAGTTTGAATGTCATTATTTGCCATTTGACAGTCATACTTTTGATTCCAATGAGGGCGGTGTTCAGACTGTTGTGTTTGTAGCAATAGTACCATTACTCAACATGTATTTCTGAACATTATATATTTCTTTAGCATTCCATATTGTCAAATTTGCTTATAAAAGCTTTTTCAAGTGGAATCCCTACATTTAATTAATGTTCTTACTTGGTTCTGTGTTTAAGTAGTGCAAAATTCAAATTGCAAACCTTGGTCTTAGATCTTTTCTCCTTTTTATAACCTAGTAGTGTTAATTTTTCATGAAAGATCTGAACTTTTAAATGGTGATTTGGAAACTGCATTATATAATAGAGATCAGCATACTATTATGTTGACCTGGGTTTAAGTTCTGTTTATTTGGTTGGAGACACACATAAAGACACACTAGAGACTATACTTCACCCTCATACTTCAGTTAATTGATGTGCATGTGAAGTACACCAGAAATTTTATAAAGATTGTATTTAGAACTATAACAGTTTTGTGTTCAAGGAACAATAATTTTTTTTAATACAAGAAACATGCACATATGTATATGTTTTTTCAGAGAAGTTACGAAACGTGAGCACCAGCAACTTTGATGAAGGTTAATAACTTGTACATTAGAAATAAATCTTAGCCTTTCCACTTTCATAAATTATTAGAACAGGCAATTAATAATAAAGTTATTACTTTTCTGTGTTCTAAAATTTAGTGAAGTATGAAGGCGTATTATTTTTACAAGCTGTACATAGAATCCCTGAAATGTGTATCCTCTTTTCGTTGCTAGGCAACGGCTCTGTAAAAATGTTACCGCGGCAACGAATATACGCAGGAAGAGAAGAATTGTTGGACGCTTCGTTTTCGTACACTTCCTGTCCTATGAAGGGAAAGCAGGCGACTGGTTCTTCCCAGAAATTCTTGTTTTTCTTTATGGCCCTAAGTTCCGCGAATTCCATGTTATGTGAGTTTACAGTAGGGTAATCCCCCCGCCTTCCTGTTTGTGGAAGATTGCTGTACTTATTTCCCTAATTTAAAAATAGAGAACAAAACAAAGCACTTCATATGTACATTTAATCTAATTAATTAATTCGCATAGTGGGGGGTGGAGTCCAACTGGGTCCACTCGGCACGGCGGCCACTGATTGGCCTATTGTAGCCTGACGCGGGTGATTATGATGATGGAGAATTTGGTGGAATGAAGATTGGCAGGGGAAACCGAAATACTCGGAGAAAACCCGCCCCAGCGTCACTTTGTCCACCACAAATCCCACTTGACCAGACCCGGGATCGAACTCGGGCCGCCGCGGTGGGAAGCCAGCGACTAACCGCTTGAGCTATGGCGCGGCCTCTACATTTGATCTAAATATTTACAGTAGGATGGTTTGCTTGTACCGTTCCGAGACAAGGTGTTCTGTTAACCTTCCATGTTGTTCATGAATGCAAATTCACCTCAAAAGAGCAGGCGATGTGCTTATTCAGATCTAAAACACATGCGTACTATAGTTACAAAACATGAAAACTAAAAATTTCATAAGCGTTCACGGGTGACATTAGGATCTTCTTGTTAAGGACAGAATTCATTTGCAGTCTCTTTAAATGAATCAGTGCTATTTTGCCTGTAAAATATTTTTGGCATGTTCCTGTGTACGTAAGTTTTCATCATAAGTAGTATAATTTTAATCACAGTATTAATTACATTATTTACGTGCCCAATCGGTTTAGCGACTGGCTACTGGCTGGATGACCAAGGGGTTGGAGTCCTAGTCCCGGTAGGGTCAAGAATTTTAATTTCTCGATCTGTTTCAGACCGACTCTGGGGTCCACCCAACCTCCAATTCAATAGGCAAAGGAGGCTCTTTCCCCGAGGTTGAAGCTGACCACTCACCTCCAACTTAGTGCCGAGGTCAAGAAACCATGGGTCTATACATCCACTCCCCCATACGCCTTCATGGCGTAGGGATTAATTAGTTAAGCTCGGGGACTTCACCTTTTACATAGCGGTTCCTTAGATACCACGTTAATGAAGGTTTACATTTTATCATGAAATCATGGCCTTTCGCTATACGTAGCGGGTACTGCATTTGGGGCGGCCTTTCGGGGTTATATGACCCTTCTCAATATTCAGGTTATATCACGGATGAATATACCATTGACGTCAATATAATATAGCGTTGCTTTCAGTTAAATAAATACGTACTCGTACTTTAAAGTACGGGTGCAGTGTCACCCCGCAAGTAGGTGCACCAAGCACCACACTCTCTGATGAGTATCTGGTTTTATATTTTGGGAATCGTAAATTACTGATGACTTCATAAATATGTTATACATCTGTCTTTAACGAACGACTTTGCCTATAAATTTATTTGAAATTCAGAATCCTCAGAACGAAGCTCATGACAATATTAAGAGTCGCCCAATAAGATCGTTTGAAACTGAAATTAGGAACATTATATTATTTGAAACTCTGAAGTTATAACTATTCTGACTACTAAGCTCGTTCGAAGAGAGAAGCAGGACAGGAAGAGGAAGCCATGTTAAAATGTGAGCCACTAATGAGTCCAGTTTTGTGGGTACTGTCAGTAGACGGAACATGTAGTAACGAGAATTAGTCCAGTATTCGAAGAACCATAAATGAGACACTCTGTAACATACGAGTTGTTTGGGAAAACTTGTAAGATGAATCTTATGATGACTATGTCATGTGAAGAAGGAGGTCACATATAAGCGTTTGGTTTTCGCTGTTGACCGCCATTCAGTAGATTTGTGGCCGTGACCATGAGTGTTTCTGCTGCAGTAAGAGTGACGTTGGTGTGCTTCGCGGGTAAGCAACGATAAAGGGAATCTGAAATTCTTTAACAGTGTGTTTGTTAACAGATGTGATTCGAAGTGAGTACAGCTGTGACGTATTAGAAATATTTTACTTATTATGGTTGTGTTTGTTGTTCTTCACCACGATCGACCAATACAAAAGCTAGTCACTTTATTGACTAAGCTAAGGGGCTAGGGTTCAATTCCCGCCAGTTTCTGATATTCTTCTCTCAGCCACTTCGTCCAGACTGGCTCTGGGGATCATTCAGACTTCTATGAAATAGGCACCATGGATAAAGAGGCCAGAGCATGAAGCTGCATGCTCACAACCATCTAGTGTACAAATTAATCGTGCTTCTATGTTCCCTGTATACATTCATGACACTGTATTTTAGTATAACTTTATTTTACGACTATATTGTTGTGAAATAAACTGGTTCCTTTTTGCCAACACGTAGGCCTACGTGTATTTTGCCTAATATTCAAATAACTGAAATTTCTCAAAAAGTAACAGTTGGGAGGAAGTGTGAATAAGCTGGAGGAAAGTAAAAACAGAAAACTTTAATAATTGGTACTCTTCGCTAAATATTATTGGTCTATAGTGATCAAATCAAGAAGGATTAATTGGCTGCGGGCATGTAACCTTGTGGGGGAAAAGAGAAATCTTACAAAATTTTACACGTTAAATATGAATGTAATATATCACTTGGAATATACTAAAAGCGCAAAAAGAAAAATAATTTTAAAATGAGCCAGGGACCAGTGGCAGGTTTTGTGGATCGGTAATTAACATTCGGGTTCCATAGAAGTGGGAAATTTTTTTATTAACTAATTGACCACGAACTTCTGAAGGATTATTCGGCTCCATGGAGTTTGCCAGTTAGTTGGTTGTTAGAGTCTGTGACTATAGGCCAGAACCCCTTTGCATGGGGAAAATTAAGAAGAATGAATAAATTAAGAAGTCGCGTAATCCTGGACGAAGTCCAAATCTCTAACTCATGCGGTTTCAGTAAATAAAAAACCAGCCTGGAGCACAGAATCAAGAATCTAAGAGACTGCTGAATTCGAAGGAGAAAAACTCACACTACATGAGAAAGTAGAAATTACAGAGTTCGTGGGAAAAGCAAGGCGTATTGTTTGTCTTCTTAAACAGAAAGTCAATTGTAGGGGACAGCGGAAAGAGCTATGGCTTTTGACAAAGGATGCGATTCTTTCAACTGATGCTGGGAAAATATGACGGAAATATAAAAATGTATTTCTACGAAAAGAATTGAGATTGTGTGGCCGTGACAATGTTACACATACGTTTTCACATCGTTTTTAATAAACTGTTTAGTTTATACTGAAAATTAATAGAGCAGTATAGTGTACAAAAAATTATTGCATTAGACACTGATGATTTAAACGCATCTTGCTTCTGTAAAAAACGGAACATGTTAAGAGGAGAGGGGACACCATCAGTTCATTCCAGAATATTTTGTTCTACACTTTGTACATTTCTAACCTACACCTAAACGACCCTGTTTGTTTGTAGAAGAACAATTTAAACTTTCGGTATATTGGTGCTAATTTTATTATCTGTGGGGCAGGCTTAGTATAATTCCATTGGCCGATATATGTAAAATTGCCCCTGTGGTTATTTAATTAATTGCCTAACCATGAATCTGTAAATTTGAGTCGAACCATAGCTCCACGTATTCCTAACATCGCTCTATATGTAAATGAGTGGTTAGCTTCACCTTTCGACAGCTTTAGCCCCCATAAATAAGCCGCCGGTACCCATTGGATAAGAGGATAGATGATCCCTACAGCCGGTCTAGACACAATGGTGAGGAGAAAGGCTTCTGTAACCGCAGGAAAACGAATTCCGGACGTCCGGCTCATAGTCGAGTGAATGTACTGACGGATATAAGCTGAGTGTGGGCCCATGTGTGTTCCTCGCTTTTCAGAACCCTGTATACTTTATGGTTGTAGTCCACCGAACCAGATGTGGGTCACACTCGCTCTCACTAACTGACCGCATTTAGCTTTGTAACGCTTTTATTTGTTGCTTCACTATTGTTCACTTTTCATTATTTTAAACTACTCTAATAAGAGAAACGTTATGTAGGACCTATAAAATATGATTTTCCTTCACATGAATTTTATTCCCCGGAATAATTAGTGATAAGAAGAGATAATTCCCCGTGTGGAGACACGTAAGAATATTTCGATCATAGCCATGCGACTCGTAGAAAGCGACGAAAGGGGAACCCAGTGCCTGGGTTTATAACTGGACCACCCTGTCACTGGGGGACATAAATACAAGGGCCTGGTCCTCCAGGTTGGGGGTTGGACGCAAGGCTGACGACCTTGCTCTTTGAAAAAAATTGTTGCAAAATCCAAAGAAGTGAAAATCAGACCAAATCTGGCAGAATATTCTAAGGAAGGTTACGGTTCAAAAATTGTTGTTTTGCCAGTGACGATGAAGAGAGAATCATCGACATGAACAATACGTACTAATTTTTCACCAACTTCTCCTTCATTCTTCTTCCCCTTTCTTCTTGTTCCCCTTCTCTCGTTTCTTTCTCTTTATTCTCCAGATCCCATTTTACTTCATTCTCTTCTTTCAAGCTGAATGAGCACACAGGAGACGAAATCTGCAACAAGAAGGCCGCTGATCAGACATTTCTTGTGATTGCAGTTCGTGGCGATTGATGGAATTACTGTATTAATCCACACTTGTCAACCTATATTAATTATTACTCTTATATCAACATTCTCACTTTAAACCAAGCAGGAAGAGTGGATGAGTAATTGAATTTTTTTTTTATTTGCGCTACAGCCCTCATTTGGGCCTAGGCCTACCCCCATGAAACTCTTCGTTTCACTTCGGTTTTTCTAGATCTTGCACATACGGCAGGACTCCTTGGGCGGGTAATCAGCTCGTCGCAAGGCCTCTACCTGTACACAAACACAGAAAAACGCATACAAACATCCATGCCTTGAGTGGGAGAGTAATTGAATTGCTTAATAATTTTCCCCGTCCTTCAAGAGATTCAGTTAGATCCACACCCACCAATATCGCAATGTCAGGTATTCTGTGATTATCCTTGAATGTACTTCCCTCATTCTGATGCAGAAAATAAAAACAATTACATTTTCTTTCAGAATGCCTGTATTTAAATTTAGGCTATATCGCAAAAAGTATTGTTATATAAGTATTAAAATTGTGTTATTTTTGCTCGACCAAACTACGAGTTACTTTCTACCCCTTTCAATGTTAGCGGTGATTTTTTTTTTTACTCTTACATTAGGCCTCGTTTCCATCTTATAATCCTCGATGAGCGGATAGAAATGACTAAGGTTATAGCCGACAGCTGGCAAAGTGTGTCAAAGTTCTCTCAATTTTACGGTGTTATTAAGACCGCATCATTTCATGTTGGCAGAAAAATAAATTTCCTCTAGAATTTTCTCCTATCGTGAGTCAGTATAGTGGATAGCTACTAAAACGTACGACCTTAGGACTACATTACATTTTATTCTGACCAGAAGAAATACATGCAATATCACGGTGAGTTAGCAAGCGTTAGAATGAGGGCATATTCTACAGATAAAGAAAGAGCGTGATATGATAGAAAATATCCTTCAGGCGAATTTCGAAGGAAATATTTACTTAAAAGCTAATTAAGTGTAAGTGGGCTTGTAATTAGAGCGTTTCACTTTCTCGGTCCTTCCTGGGTGGAATGTGACGTAAGATTCCTGTTTCAGAGTTCGATATACCGGATGGCGCAAGGGAAATTAGCCTTTAAAGGCGTTAATAATTAATGGTTCTGCGGATTTCAATGAAGTCGTGTAGAACATACAAAAATTATGCATATATAAAGATTCACTCAGTTCGGTTGATTCATTACACAGGAAAATAGTTTCCGTTTTGAAAGTTAAGCACCATATCATTAATGTTGATAGAGGGTATGGAGGAAATATCTTTCATTATAAAAGATACAAATAAAAAAAAATCTTTCATCCTATATTTCCGCATTAGACGTAAATGATTGATCAGTTTTATGCCATCAGCGCAAATTTGACAGAAGACTATAGGTGTTCCAGGATCTGTCTGAACCTGCCGGGAATTGAACCATATTTATTCAGTTCTTAGCCGGCTCATACACAAGTAACTGACGTGAAATAATATATGAAATTTCTCGATTTAGCCTGAAATGGATACCTTGTGGACATTTTTGAATCCCTTTAATGGTATTTATATGCAACCCGCCTTAATTATGTTACGCCTTCTTTCACTGCAACACTTCAGATTTTCGTATAGCTACACGTGTTTCCTTTTCCGGATGTCTAACTGCGTAGAAAACATTGAAGTGACTGTTTCTCCAAATTTCATACTCCGAGAGTACTGGTTCTATTAATCAAATATAAACAAACTCCGTGGCCTGTAGTCCGCAAGCCAACTATCCCGACCGAGCGACCGCCGCTTGTCAGCGAAGTTAGTGCCAACTTTAGCGGATAGAGGGTATCGCGTGTTCAGCGCAACAAATCCCCACGGCCGTTAATTTCGGTTTTATAGACCGGAGCCGCTCTATCCTTGAAATAACTCCTCAGTTATCCTCACGAGGCTGAGTGGACCCCTTTCAAGACCCACTACTTCTCATAAAATCTGGTAGCGCCGGGAATCGAACCCGGACCTCTGGATCTGTAGCCAGGAACTCTGACCACTAGACCATAGTGGCGGTATTAATGAAATATACTATGAGAAATGTCGTGCATTTTTATATTCAGTGAAGGGTGAAAAATTAAAATTAAATCATTACAATGCGCCGTCTGACTGAAGGAAACAGGACTGTAAAGTTAGACGTCTGTCTGAAGCACATAGTATTTGTGATTTTATATAAAGTCTCTCTTTGTGCTTTGTTTTGGTCTTAAACCTCTACTGTTCATTTCATAGATGTTCGTGGTAATCGTTTGACGTAATATCAGCGTATTAATACTGTTTTATATTCTACTCTACTACATTTGAGGAGCCGGAATAGCGCAGTCGGTATATCTACTGGCTACGGGCTGGACGACCGAGGGGTCGGAGTTCTAGTCTTTGTAAGGTCAAGAATTTCTTCTCATATACGTTTTCCAGACCGGCTCTGGGTCCACCCAGCCTCCTATCCAATGGGTACCGGAGTCTCTTTCACTGGGGTTAAAGCGGCAGGGGCGTGAAGCTGACCACTCACCTCCAACTAGTGCCGAGGTCAATAAAACATGGATCTATACATCCACCCCCCCCCCATGCGTCTCCATGGCGTAGTGCTTAATTACTTAAGCACAGGGACAGCTTTACCTTACTACGTGTTCAGATCGGTGTGCTCATCTCCAGGTGATCACAGGAGATACATAACTCTCTTCACTGGATTTCTGGACTAATATATCTGATGATGATCACACCGAAACCTGTAGTGAAGCACAAAATAAAACAGTATTAACATGTTAATATTGGTTTTGTTTGCTTATGAAAGTGTTGTGTTGACGGAGTGTCAGTCGAGATTCGAAATGGGAACAACCCGAATGCAAATCAGAAACCTTACCGCTTGAGCGAACTTACGCATTCATAGCATTCGTATTGACAGCCTGTATTGACAGAAAAAATCACCAGTATAAATATTGCACTGCATGGAGCCTAAGACATGTTGCAGATAAAATTAGCCAATGATATAAATCAAGATTACGGTCTACTTGGATGTGACACCGTATACATTGGTAGATGGGTACCAACTATTTAGAAGAACCTGCTGCCCTCATCTTCACGTCAGATCTACTTACGTTGAAGACAGAGGCAGAAATATTTCTCACCCTGAAGATGGAAGTATTAGGTTCCTTTGAAACGTTCGTACCCATCTCTCACACTACTCGTATTGCGCCACATCCAAGAATGACGTAACCTTGACACTTATCATCATAGACGCACATATTATTGTTTACAAAGTTAAAACTCAACATTAATAACCTACTTTTGCCATTTGTTATTCTGGACTTCCATAACACAGCCAGCCTTTTAACCTTAACACAATGGTCTGCAAGACCATGCTGTATGGTTCGGGCCGTTATGATGTTCCCGTATGTTCCATTCAAATGCTTTTCTGCTCTGGATCTTGTTTAACTTTCAGTAAAAGGTTACGTGTGTTGCAACTAGGCTACTGGAGCTCTGGAAGTGTGTTAAGTTTTCATAAAATTCACATCACTTATTTAGCCGATAGGATGTGAGGCGAGGAGAGGAAGGTAAGAGAAAGCGACAGCCAAAGGATTTTGATACATAAATTATCATGTGTCTCGAATGAAGTGACACATTTGGACAGACGTTTAAAATATAAACCTGAACTGAATAAATTTGCAATAAGGTCATTCTGAGTAAAATCTATGTAAGTAACGATATAATTAAATATACATCGACTTTAAAACTTGTACAATAAAATTATAAAAATGGATTTAGAATTCAGTTCGTATAAGTAAACCAATATACCATATTTTTCTTTTAGTCCGATGAGTTAATTTGTAAATACAAAGTTGACACTAACTTCGCTGACAAGCGGCGGTCGCTCTGTCGGTATAGTTCGCTTGCGGACTAAATCCACGGAGTTTTTTTTTGTGTGTGTTACATACAGCAAATAGAAGCAAGCGGAGCGTAGAGAATGTGGGTCTCGAAATATATTCGCCATCTCACTTCCTATAAGAGTTGCTAGGATTAAAATGAAACATTTACGATTCGAAATTTGTTTTTCCAGTTACAAACCAAGATATGTATTATTACGTCGAAATAATGCAGGACTTTTTTCATTGCATTGTTTCTGTCTATAACATACGCAACATTTGAAAACTTGCTTTGCTGCCATCTGCAAATGGCAGTGGTTACCATATAAATTTAATAATTACAAAATTTCGGGTTCGATGCCGACTGCAGACAGTAATGTAAGAAATATTAAAAGCAAATATGAAATATGTATCAATATAATGACTGAAAATTGCTTGAAGATGGGATAAGAGTCAGATCTCGAAAAATTGAGGATAATTTCGTAAATATGCCACAAGTGACAAAGAATTCGAAATTGAGGTATAATGAAACAGTCATTGTCACAAACCTACCCCAATCGCCAAATATCGTGTTCGTCTTTTCTCGGCTTCTTTGTTATAATCATCCTAACATAAACCAGATAAGACTTCGCGATGGTCGCCATGTGGAATAATATATTCTTTAAAAGACACAGCTGTTTGGTTAAGATACAAAAGATAACCAGAGGAAAAATGGAAATAAAAATAAAAACTACAAATACTAACTCTAGTTACTTAGGTCCATCATTTGTGTGACAGAATCCATCTACATTTCAGACGCACGGCACTACTTTGTCTTCGGTGTTCATTTGAATTTATAGTGTCATTACCTAGTATTTTAATCTGAAAATATTAATTAATTGAAATAAGAAAACCCAGCTTCTGTCAAATTATGAAAAATTAAAACATTCCAATCTAAAAGAAAAAGGTTCTTCTTGTCAAACACTGACAACTTTTAGATACATCAAATAACAATACTGAATACTGCTTACAAGTTGCGTGTTATTAATGAGAGGCTATCGTTTTATCCCCGGCTATTATTTCAGTTTCAATATTTAATAAACCCCCCTCGTTGGTGTCTCCAACTTATCGTGGTGAGGGGGTTTGAGTATGCCAAAGACCCTGAGAGCTATGCCAGCGGTAGCGTAGCTACTGGCAGGGCCTCCCTTGCTGGACAGGTCAAAGGGTAAGCATCAAACGAAGAGGGACACCAAAAACCAAAAACTGATGCCGGAAGCAGCGTCATCAGCAGCGACTTGAAGCACAGANACCTGTATTACGTATTTTTTTCAAACGTAATGACGTAATTACTGTAAATGCGAAACAGTAATTATGTATTGTTATAGGAATTAAATATAAATGGAAGGATATACTTCCAGATTAACCCCAAAGCTTGCTCTTTTCCGTAATGGACTACTTTTCCTTGCAGCAAGTGTGATCAGGGCGGACGTCGATCACTACCACCTGAAACTGAGAGTCCCCTGTCTGGAGGATGGCCGGTTCTACCGAAACCCCAGAGCAGAGCCCGAGAGGGTGTGGACTACTTCCGAATGCTCGAAATACTATCTCTGTCTTGGTGAGTAATCAGGATAAGAAGGCTGAACAATTAATTACGTTCTTAAAGTTGAGAACACCTGCAGTATCAATAACACCACAACAATATATACAACACAAGGGAAATTATGGTTATGATGATATCCCACGAATTAAGTAAAAAGTAAAAAAATGTAAAGGTATCCCTGTAACAGGCCGTGGAGGCCCATAAGGTTGTGAGATGTTGAAGTTCCCACATTGTCTAGATAATCGGGATCATAGATGGCGGCAAGGTTGTCAGCCCTCCGCGCCTGCCGCCCTTTACCCCCAAGAACATTCCAAAAATATTCCTGGTACTCATATCTGTTAGTGGCTGAGTCGATCCCAGGGCCATGGTGCGGCTGGAAGGATTAGGTCAATCGAAAAAGAAATCCAATGACCTCATCGGGATTCGATCCTGCGACTTTCTGGCTGGTAGCATAGTGCCTCAACCAACTAATTACACTTAAATTTCTTTGAAAGCAAGAACTGGAATGTTGACGTAGTGTAGTACGTACATTTCTCAACTTCTACATTTCTTGAAAATGTTTCACGAAAGTTTTATATTGCTGTTGCTAATATTATAGCTGGCTTAATTACTTCTTATTCTAGTTTCCACATACTATATCTCTAATTAGTTTTTCCAAATTCGTATACTTATTTATATTTTTACACTTAAGTTCCTTGAACATGGCTGCCTAATGGGTATGTTGTTCTTGTTGTTGCTGTTATTATTATTATTATTATTATTATTGCAAGTAAATAATGCAACTTTATTGAATTATTAATATCATCATGATTATCACTTCATTGTGTTGGCACTCAAATTTCCTGTGGCCCCTCAGATTGCGTATACAATCTGGACATCGGATATTTATTTTAGGAGTTCATGAATTCACTAGCCTACGCTACATAATTTGTTCCACAGAGAAAGCGTCGTTAAATAAGTTAAGAAATAAACATTACCCCAGAGAAATATTCGTATTCTGCTATCGTTTTATTTAATCTGTATCAAATGTTTTCCTCTGTTTGACACATATCCCTTCTCCTCGTTGTCGAAGGATTATTTCGACCATAGCAAGAGAGCTTAATACCTATATGCAATGTTGTTATATTTCGATGCTGCTATTATATTCACATGTAAGGTAACCTCCCCCCTCAAATTCAGGTACTGCGGTAATTTGCCAAAGCAAATGTAATAATGTGTAAATGTAATATAAAGTAAAGGTTATACTTCATCCATATGAACAAAAATGAAATTTTGCCAGTAATTTTTAGTATAGGTCTCTATCTGTGATGCTTTTTAGCCTACAGAAAGCTTACAGACGTTTCGGAGATATGTATTGTCATCATCTACATGTAAGATTTGAGGCTTTCACGGCGGTGACTATGAAGAAAGCANTTAACACCACATATACACGGTGCCAAATCCCAGAAGACTGCTTTCTTCATCATCTACATATTCGAAAAAATCTCAGCTAGCAACGAAGAAGAAACAAGCAACAACCAGAGTGCTTATGCTTGTTTCTTCCTTGTTACTTGGCTTATTTCGACTTCAAATGGAGGTAGCAAGTTCCTCTAAAATGTTAATAAAATTCTACCAGACCACACGGCGTCACATCCGATAAGATTTTATTCTTTACGTTCACCGCTGTGAGAACTACATATCTAATGCCTAGACTAGATGTAAATACTCCACCGCATTCAGTTCAGTGCAGATTCGGGAATGCAACATGTTGGCGGGCGTATACAAAAGCAGACCGAGCCCTATGACCTCCCCAGAGTTAAGTTTATGCATTTTGTTTAAAGAACGCGTATGTAAGTTCGCCTTACTACGGCGGCAACTTCTCTGTCAGCGGTGCGAGGCGCATACTTGCAACAGGAGCTGCGATGTTCTTCCACTGTCGTTTCTTGGAGCTAAAAGAGAATACATGGAATTTTAGGTGGGATGTTGAAATATTTTAATATTCGTTTAAGTAAATTTAAAGTAGCATATACCTTGAGGCTTTTTATACTTCGCTGGCCTTCGTTTTAAATTATTCCTAATATAAATCTTACTACAAGTACATTGTATGTCAGAAATTATATTTCCTTGTGTTTCGTTAAATACTTGCATTTTTCTTGTCGAAAATATTTCAAATTGAATTTGTAGATATCGAACCAGATTCCTTCTTGTATCATGTAACAATCTTTGCTTACTGGACAGTTTTATTTTAATAAAAAATCGACTTAAACTTCGTACAATGTAATTATTATTTTGGGTCGGTATGAACAAAGAATTACATTAAGAATTTCTAGTGTAAATACGTGTATGAAAGTTAACCGGCATTCTGAGAGCAGCTTTGGACATAAAACATACGATGTGTTGTTATGCGATAATTGTATTTACGTTTTGCAATACACGAATAAATTAACATCAAAAGTACTGTTTTCTGGGATACAACGCCGTGCATTCCGTTGAAAGTTGACATTCAACGAACTACATAACGTTATATCCCAAAAATAGTACTCTCCGAAACCACTGTTGTGAGAACTTAAAATTCTACAACATAATATCAGACAACAAAGAGCAAATCCTTGTCATGGGGACTTCGAAACCTGAATTGTTCTAATTCCTCTCGGAGCAGGGATATTTTCACGTTTCTGTTTTGAGGCAGAGGTCTAGCATAGGTCTGATATTCCATTCACACTGCCTATTTAAATACAGCTTGGGGAACCTGTAGGATTCGCACAGCTAAAAACTCGACTGACCTGTAACGCTAGAAAGAAAAAATAACACTGAAGATAATTGCCCCGCTTGAAGTTGCTGTGCCACACACTCAGACACTGCCAGATATGGCTAATTTAAAAACCGCCAATAACAAAATCCGTCATAGAATACCATCATGAGGAACTTCAATCCAATTTCCGTGATCAGGATCTATTATATATTCACATTTGCTTTCGGTATGAGCACCACAGGATTTTTTCCTTCAGATATAAAACATAACAACAAATCCCGGAAGATACAATAACCTGCGATACATGATAAGAAACATGGAACCTAACATCGTAATAATGGAACAATAAAAGTAGTCAAAATTACATGTATCATAACGATTATAACTATTAACCATAATATGGATCCATATTAGGATATTTCATTACCGAGTGGCATATTTAGGAATACTTCATGATGACGATCCAGATAGGGGTGCAGCAGTCACAAAATAAAAAAGTTAAAACAGTGATATTAGACTGGTTTAATTTATGATAAATTTGTTGTGATGACGGCCAAAAAAACCACATCATGGCACACAACAGGATGCAAACAATAAAGATAACACGAAAGTGATGAGAATTACCTACTGTATATAGTTCATTTCCTCAGATATCACCTACATCTAAACCAGATTGAACATACGTGAATTACAAGAAATCTCTTGAAATTTAGGTAAAATATGATATTGAAAAGTAACAAGAAGTGCCGCATTATTATTTTCTTTTTTTACACATACTTTTCTCCTCTTGTGTCTAACTATACAAATCTCTTAGCTTAAACATTTTACATTCATGACTGGAGAGTAAAATAGCTTTGGAAAGACATGGTTGTGGCCTGTTCCAAGATTCTACAGTATTGAAGACTAAGGAAAAACACAAGAATATTAATCACAGATAAGTGACAGATCAAGATTTGAACAGGGTACATCTCGAATTCAAATAACAGTTTAGAATATTGTCACTATCCTATACTGTTTACTCATGCATTTATTAATTTTCAAAGTATCTCACTATAAAATTTAATTTTGTGTAACCTATTATATAATTTTCAAGAATATAGACATATTTGTAAGTATTTAGCACACTCATATTTTAATACATCTTTCAGTTCTGTAGTTAATTTTTTTTTTCATAACTTTACAGGAAAATTCATTTATCTGCCTACCCATTAGTTACAGCCTTCATTTCTAATTAAGAATTCTTCTCAAGGTCATGCAGCTTTCATTGTATTTTCAGATGGTGAAGTGTTTGGATTCAAATGTTCCACGGGCCTCCTCTTTGATGTCAACAGGCAGATATGTGACTTTAAGTTAAACGTAGACAATTGTGATGTAGTGACAGGTGAGTTCATGTAAGAAGCGACACATCTAGATCGCGCGCTCTCTCTCTGTCTCTTCCTTGATTTCAATAGATAAAATGGTGGTGGTTTACAGATCATTTTTATAATAGTTACTAACATATTAACTACAATTTCAAATCAGTACATGTTCGTATTTTTCTCCTGTTATGGGAGAAGTTACTGACTCATCACATTTTTCATCACAAATTTCCTTACTTTGAGATATCCTCCAGTCTCCCATAAGGGTCTATTTTGTTATGGTTCTTGTTTCTGGATACTTACTTTTGAACTATAATTACACAAGCTGGACTTCTAATACATTTGAGAACCAGTACTGAACTTAAGGAAAGTATTTATCTTCTAATATACAAATCCCACAAGAAGTGTTACTTCCCTTTTCATCATTGTCTCCCCCCACCCCCCAAGAGTATTGATGCCGGTAATTCACACTTTCACAATGTTGTTTGTATTAGATCATTTGAAATATTAAGCAGAAGGAATGAGAATTAATACATAAATAATAAAATACAGAAGTCATTGATTATTTTTTTTTGTTTAACTATTTTAGAAATTTTTCATTTGTAAATTTTAAAATACTTATTGGAAAGTTTTTCTTTATGAATACGCTACTTAATTCACATAAATGTTTGTCTTCATTATAACTTTCACAACGATTACATTCATTGAAATATGAAATGGATATGTCAATAACAAATAAAATGCACATAAAATTTTTTGTGAGATATGATGATGAAAAAGACGTACATTATATTTGGGAAAATATGAAACTTTTAGAAAGAAATATACAAATTAAATGAACTATGAAGAGTTCTCTCTGGGATATAACGCCGTGTAGTCTGTTGAAAGTCAACTGAAATTTCAAAGGAGCATGTTGCCTCCATCTTCAGAATTGATGAATAAGCCAAGTAAGATACCAGCATCAAGCAGGTAGCAAGCAGTCTCCTATCTACCACCATTGTGAGAACATCAGATCCTATTTAGATAAATTACTTTAAAACATGAATTGTATTTTGAGTCACAAATAAATTGTAAGGGACTTGTTTCAGAGGCAAAGGTGCCACGGCCATTATTAGAAGCTGCTGAATGTGAAAATCCTGACCACTTGGGATGTGGAGATGGCTCATGTTTCCCCAGTCAGTTTTTCTGTGATGGCAGTGTAGACTGTGCTGATGGCTCTGATGAGGGATGGTGCGGTAAGTAGTGAAATTTCAAACTTCTCATGCCTCTTATTAGAACTTCCTTCCCCTCCCTATCTAAAAAATAAAAAAAGCAATGTCAGTCAGCTATTTTTTTTTTCCTTGCCAGCTCTAACAAATAAATTTCTTGCCAGTTCTATTTTCACTCTTAACATATTTACATACAATGTGTAACTCAACAAGTACCAATCTCCTGTGCTTGAGTTTGGAACTTATGACGTTCAAGAGCTTCCACATTATTTTTCATGGGACCTTCTTACCAAACTGTGTTTCTTTTTTCCTTTCTCTATAGCTCAAAAGACATGAATCGTTTATTTCAAAACCTGGCTCCATAGGGAATCAGCATTATAGTGTTTCAGTGCTATACATGTTAAAGGAGAAATTTTCTTCTTAGGTCCCTTCTTCTAGATCTTTAGCTTTACTGTATGTAGAACAAAAAAAAATTAAGCCTAGCACATTACAAACTGCACTAAATGATACCTAGTTGCAGAAGTATGAATATTTTTATTATTTTAACTACAATAATGGAGTAGGAAGATATGCAATAGGATAATGCTGTATTATATTTTTTTTTTTTTGTAAATTAGTTACTGGAATTTACTGAATGCTCCCTGTAGATCAAGTAATTTAATTATGGCAGCCATTTCATGATGCCGACTGTTTTAAATGTATGTTGCAGATGCAGATCATGATCCTAATGCAGCTCTGCCCTGTGATCCACATACCTGTAGGCTTCCAGACTGTTTCTGCTCACGAGATGGAACTCTTATTCCAAGTAACATGGAGCTTTCACAGGTTGACATTTTACTGCTTCTTTATGATAAATGAAATGTAATACAGTAGGCTCATTTTGTGATTATTCATTGTGTGACAAGTATTACCAAATACCCAGTTCATGTAAAATGTTCTGTTTTTATTGCATTCTTCATATTAAATCCATAACATGAACATACAATGCAAAGTGTCAATCTGTACGTTATATCTCCAAAAGTACAAGATATTTCATATAAGCCATTAAATTACACAATGTTATGTTTCTTTTAACTTTCATTTTAATATTTCTGACAATACCCAGAAGGAATAATTTGTCTGTAGTCAGTGCAATAACACTACTTTGATTAGTTTTATTAAGAATAACATTTATGACTACATACATCTTCAATGTTGATTAGCTCCATAAAGAGTAGATTTTTATCAGCAACAAATAACTGTTAATGAGCAAAGTGTGTTTCAAAATTGTAAAGAATGCCTTTGGAAGTTCTGTCCATTATTGTGACCTTCAGTTATTTCTTGTGTGTTCCTATGATCTTTATGTAATGGTGGAGAGAGATACCAAGAGCTGATTCTGATGAATAGAAGAGCAAAGAATTGATATTAAATGATGCTATTTTCCATACTTGTATATGAAAAAAAGGCTTGGGTACAAGCACAAGGCTGTTAGTAATATTCAGGCATTCAAGTAGCAGAAATAAAACGTTAAGAAGTGTCAAACAAGTATCAGATTAGACAAAATTAAAAATAAATACATGAAGGAGGATGCATAGGTGACTACACAATAAAAATTAGTTAACTTTCCTGAACAAAATGAAAAACAACTTCCAAAATTTGCTCTTCAGCATATACTACAAACATACTGAACTACAGAATGATCATTTAAAAGACTGATTAAACTTGGAACAGGCCGAAGCCTATTCTGTGGAGAGCACAACAAGGAGTTAAGAAAATTTTACCAGTCATTCAGAAAAGTACAGTCCAAAACACATAGAAGACTGAGAAATTCTAACTTGAGAAAGTAGCCCAAATGTGGCGCAGCTTGTGTGCGCTTTCCCACATTATTTGTAAAGCAGCCTAGAGGTTTACAGAAAAACAGTACGACTGTAGATTGTAGCACACTGAGCAAACAGAGAGATATTTTTCAACCAATGTTGGCGCAAACATGCAGGTTCCCAGCAATAAATTAGTATTTCTTCAACACAGTGGAATAATGTCCTGGAATATAAATATCTAAACTATAAGTCAGTACTAGCAGGTTATAATGAATATAGTGCAATATTTTCTTTAGTTTGACAATTTGTTTCATTTTGTTTTCAGTACAACTTTTGGTGTGTTTTAGGTTCCACAGATGATTCTGCTTACATTTGATGATGCTATCAATTTTGAAAACTGGGACCTTTACACACAACAGCTATTTGTTCCTGAGAGGAAGAATGCAAATGGTTGCCCAATTCGTGCCACTTTCTATGTCTCACATCAATATACAAATTACCAACAGACTCAAAAGCTATGGAATGATGGTCATGAAATTGCAGTTCATTCAATCACGTAAGCTGAGATTTCTAATTCTTTTGCATATTCCCTTCAGATTTTCAACTATAAAGTAATGCATATATAGCTACTACAAGAAGCATATTCACACAGAATTGCTAGGTTTTTGGACTTTTTCCATCATCCAGAATTCTAGGTAATAGAGGACATGGCATTTCGGAAACTGGATCTTCTTTCTGTCTTCCGGTGAGAAAGGAAGCCACCTACTCAGTTGGGCCCCTCAGAAAGAGATTAGCTCTTTCTAAGCCAGCATGCTTACAAGCCAACAACTGATGCATATCAGCAAACATCAAAGAATTCACAAATCTGCCAGGGCATTACATTATTTAACCTTCAGGATAAGACTGAGCATGGGAGTTTTAGTAAATATATTTTTCATAAAAAAACACTGAATATAATTATGTGCTGAGTACTATGCATAACAATATAGTGAGACCTTCATTTGTGCACTTGTTGATAATTAGTCAGTTGCTACATCTGAGAAATAACTCTCTGTCCAACATTCTTGAACAGACATCGAGGACCTGAGGAGTGGTGGAGCAGTAATGCTACAATAGAAGACTGGTTTGATGAAATGGTAGGTCAAGCCAACATCATCAACCACTTTGCTGGTGTTCGAATGGAGGACATTAGGGGTAAGTTACTGAAGTTATTGCTAAGTACCATCACAAATAAAACTGTATCTAATATAATGGCAAGACTATGTCATTAATGCATTTAATTTGTTGCATAATTTAGTAAAAGTAAAATATTTCATATTTTTTCCATACGAATATTAGTATGATGGTATATTGAAACAACTTACATTTCATTTAGGTACAGTGAGCTTTGTCAACTGCTGTAGTTGAGATAAATTATAGATTTATAAGGTATGGTTTCAGGCCACTATTATGCTTAAAGAAAGGAAGTAAAATATGACAAGGCTCCTGGTAATTCCATGTACAGAATGTACAAATCTGTTTATTACATGCTTATCCAGCATGGAATTAATATATAACACTCACTGGAAAACCACTTGGGAGACCTACACGTAGATGGGGGATATATGGATGTGGATCTTAAAGAAACAGGATGTGAAGCTGTGGACTGGATTGAAGTGGTCCAGAAGAGGATACAGTGACATACTGCCATGGGAATGGTAATAAACCATTAACATCCACAAAAGGAGGAAGTCTTTTGGCTAGCTGAATAATTGCAAACTGCTCAAAAAAATCTTTAACCATGAAATTATTTTGTTATTTCCAGGTGAAAGAAGTGGTAATTGGACATTATTTCCAAATTTCCCTTCTTTCTAAAATTGAAAGGGTGTGTGACAGAATTTCGAAGCATAATTCTACTAAAAACAGTAATAACTTACACAACATTAAAATGTATTTTCGCTAATAACTGAAAAGGATGAGGTATGATAAATTTAACAGGTTCAAACTATTTGGAAGCACCGAGAAATATTACATACAAAAAAACACCATATTTAGAAGAGTCGTCTGCAGGATATTGTCCTCATGAGTACAGTCACAGTACACAGTGTCACCTTTCCAAACATGTGACAGTGTTGAGTGATACATAATTCCATATTATTACAGGGATGGCTCAGGATAGGGGCCAGCAGAGGGCTCTTGCAAACACTGTAATGAACTTTTGGGTTCCACAAAATGCTGGAAGTTCTTCAGTAGCTGCACAACTTGCAGCTTCTCAAGAAGGGCTCAGTTCCATGAAGTTAATTAAACAACTATCAAATGTGTAAAAAAATTAACAATAACAATACACATTACAGAAAACACTGATGCCACAACAGGATAACAGTGCGAGAAAATAACGAAGAGTAACGAACTCAAACAAATATCTTTTATGAACAGATGACAACAAATGGAATGACAGTGATATATTTTATTTTAATTTGGAACTAATTCGTTTTATATAGAGTAACGGTTTTAGCAAGATAAACGGTTGCCTGATAATGGCTGGGTGAGGCTGAAAGATGTAGCAAAGAGGAGGAATAAATGAAAATAAAGTTGCAATTAAGACAGAAATATATGTATGTATAAGTGATAGCTACTGTCTTCACTCGCTTGGAAACCGGGATCGTGGGTTAGAATCCCACTCAGGACATGGATGTTCAGTTTGTGTATGTGCATTTTTCTGTGTCTGTGTACAGGTAGTGGCCTTGTGACGAGCTGATCACACGCCCAAGGAGTTATACCGAATGTGTAATATCTAGAAAAACCGAAGTGAACAGAGAAGTTCATGGAGGTAGGCCTAGGCCCACTGGGGCTGTAGTGCCAAGGAAAAAAAAGTGATAGCTAGTTATTATAGGGTCTGGAACTTTTTTATGTATCTGAGATTTCCCAAGGAATCAGGTTAGCTGCATATAAGGAAAAAGGATCTTGCTTTGTTGCAAGGTCAATTCATCAAAACTGACAGAAAATACTGGCAGTACTTATATATTTACCCACATGGCAGTGTATTCCAGAAGAACACCAGTTGTAAACATATAAATATAAATAAATACAATTTACTTAAAACAATGGTATTCCTCTATGTAACATTACAATTGTCCTTCTTAAAATTGCACTTTCATTTGTTCTACTTACTCTGCCTCTAAAAATGTTACAGACTTCATCCATATAAATCTAAATTCATCAAGAGAGGCAGTGAAGTTAAAAAACACACATTACAGTGACAATTCATGTTCTGGTACAGATTCTTTCAAGAAGGATTAGGATTACTAATATACATAAATGAGATTAGCTTGAACTAAAGAGAAACAAATAATATGGCTTAAGTTCTTAAATTTACATTAGAATACATATTTAAGTTCACAATTTCTTTCAGAAGTTTTTATTTATAAACAATTCTTACCATAATTTCGATAGTTATAGAATAGGAGGCTGACATAAATGAGTTCATTTTTCTGTAAATAGTTATTTTTTTATGAGATACACGATGTTTCAGGAATTAAATTTATGATGAGCTAACTACAGAAAATAAATTGAAAACATTCATACAGTTAGTTGCAATATTCAACAGTACAGCCATTATATTTTCTCTGAACTACCTATCCACAAACACTTTATCTTGGAACACAGGAAACTGAGACGGCAAAAACGATCAACTAATTTCTCCACTATTAGTTTCTGAACAACTGCAAATATACAGTGAACTGATAAGTTTTGTTTCTACTGATTTCAGTTACAATCAAAAGTTTATTTACATTTCATTGATGTGTTTTCCTTTTTTTGGCATATTTTTACGATGTTTATGATATCAGTATCAACACTACAGTGTGTTGAATGGTAGGATTACTGATGAATGATAAATTATAAAGTATTTGAAAGTGTTTATGCCCCAATCAAAGTAAATCCTGTGGCTTGCCCGGAAGGAGAAAGGAAAACCATGAAAGACCTGTCAGGATAGCTAGTGTCCTGCCTAAGTTTCGAATAAAGGTCCTCCAAAATATGTCAGGAGCAATACCACTGATCTGCTCAGTACATTTCATTGATGTTACACCTTATCTTTGATGATTAGAATTTGTTGAAAGAACGGACTTACACTTTTGAAATAGTTCATACATCCACTATAATATACACTGAACTAACAATTCAACATAAACATGTTTCAATACATAACAGAAAACTATAGCTGTCATATCACTAGTATCAGAATTGCGAGGCTCAGTGTCTTTCTCTATAACATAGTTGTCCTTCTTCTTTTTCAGGGATGAGAGTGCCTTTCTTACGAGTTGGTTGGAATCGACAATTCCTCATGATGAAGGAGTTTGGTTTTGTATATGACGCCTCCATGGTAGCCCCTTTCTCAGACCCTCCACTGTGGCCTTACACCTTGGATCATAAGATACCACATCAGTGTACTGGGAACAATCAACGGTGCCCCTCCCGCTCTTACCCTGGCATCTGGGAGATGGTGATGAATCAGCTGGCAATTGATGTATATGAGTTTCTGAGTTACAGAATATCCAGGCTTATCAATTACACTGTTTGTTCCTTGAATAGACACTGGAAAAAGGCTTTCTTCATTTGGAGGAAAAATATGTCTTGTCATATTCATCTATTTCTGAGTCTTGGATCTCTTTATCATATTGATTTGTTATTCTCATTATGCTCAATACATGTCCAACTACTCAAAATGTTTTTGTAATTGGAAGGAAAGCAAATGACTCTAAATGGCCAGGTCAGCTTTGACACTCAAAAGTCAGTCCCATCCACCAATTCTATATTCATAATTGGTACCATCCCTGTGAATTTCTGATGTCTTCCATCACAAATTACTGTAACCAGCAGTATTGTCCACTATCGTTGGACAACTAAAATATGGTAACGTTCACAGGACATGAGGTATAAAATGTTTATCTTTTTCATCTGCAGCCTTCAAGTTCCAAACTTACAGTCTGCACAAACCATACCTTTACTTTCTTTCCTGCTTTCACATTTAGTATATTCTCATGGTATAATTTTTTTCATTTTAAAGAAGGGAATAACAGACACAAGTACATATAACAGAGATGGCTCCAGCAGATGCCAGTAATAAAGAATATGGATTTGAGTAGAAAGATTAATGCTGGGTCCCCATCAAGCAAAAACCCAGGAGGCATGCAGGATGAATCTTTTACATACATATAATGTATAACAACCCAATGAAATACTACTACTACTACTGCTGCTGCTACTACTACTGCTGCTACTACACCTACACCTACAACTACTATTACCACTACTACTACTACTATCACTATTATTATACCCATCAACTAGAATCCAAAGTGGAGATCATAATAATCTGAAGTCTACAATTTTCGGTTTCCTACATTTTGAATTAATATCAGTTTACAATATGATTCATTCTCTGGCTACAATATGTCCTCTTCTTTCTTTTATGTGCCCCACTTCATTATGACAATTTGTCTTTAATTACTGTTAAATTTCTGATTTAATGCTGTCATTCATTACTAACACTTTTGTTTAAATATTAAATTATCTTCAAATGAATACATTATCTGATTTCAGAAAAATGTAGATTACATATGGGTTATACAACAATGTCAGCAGGTGAAAGTGATTTACTTCACTTTAGCTTCAATTTATAATTAACATAAATAAGTAAAACAGCGTGCTATTCAGATCAACTTATACGAGGATCTATTAGACCAAACTGCTCTCACATTCAAAACAGTTTTCAAATCCGAAATCCACATTCTTCAGTCTCAGAAACTTTTTTAAATGTTCAATACATGAGCAAGAACCTCTATCTTTTCCAGGAATACACCTGTGCCATGGTGGACAGTTGTCCACCTCACCTCTCAGGGGAGGAAGTATACAACATGCTCATTCACAACTTCAAACGGCATTACAACACTAACAGAGCTCCATATGGACTTTACTTCCACACAACTTGGTTCAAGAAACCAGAATATCTTGCAGCTTTTAGGGTAAGAACTGTATCATTAATTCATTATACTTCTATGTACAGAATGCAAAAAGTGCTGAGTACACATAACTTCATAAAGCACAAATCTTAATATGCTTAATCTCACTGCTGTTAGATATACATACATTTGTGGAAAATGAGAACATGCATGTACATACCATTTCCTCCAAATAGTCCACACATCATAAAGAGAAACTACAGAAATTATGTGTGTAACTAATTACATTCAGCCTTCAGTTCATGTTTAAAATTAAAGGATGAAAATTGCTAGAATATGGAACATTTGTCTATTAAACCATCTGAGTTGCCCTTAATGTCAAATCACAGTTTCACTCACACTTTTACTTCAAAAGTTCAGAGTTCAAAATTAAATATTATGATTAAGTAGGTAGTCGATTTATTTATTCATCCATTTTGTCTTTAAATTATCACAGTGAACATGAAGTATGAAAGGAATCTTGCTTTGAAATTAAATTAAAGTGGGTACTTTGAGTTATCTACATTCTGAAAACTTATGCTTAACATTTTATGAGCACATTACTTATACAGGGTGATTCACGGAGTTTTACCCCGGCTTATGGTATATATTCCTGGGGTTATTTCCAGCAAAATTTCCTTATAAACGTGTGGTCGATTTTCAATAGTTTCAGAGTAACAATAGATTTTCAAAACGCATCATTGTGAATGCAACGCTATGCTTCAGTGTGGGCGACCATACGTTCCAGTCAGCTATGTCAGCAGATAAGGTAGACTGGTTTGAATGTTGCGCATAGGTAGACAGGCAGAGCGGTTCATATGTGTGCGACGCATTGTGTTCACGTGCAGGGAGACATTTTTGAAAATCTTATGTAAATCCAGTCATCTTCTGAAGCACTACAGTTTAAAGGAAACAGATTGATAGAAGGGTGTGATATGCAACCATTGGTATGTTTACAGAATGGGATGCTGAAAATAATATAATTTTGTAACACAAAATCGATGAAAAATGTNTTTTATATGCATCTGTTATTGTAAGGCTAACAGAAGTTTAATTAAGTCTATAAAACATGGCAAATTATTATTCTGATTTGAAGACAGTTTAAACAAAGCCTGAAAGTCATCAGTCAGCTGATGAAAATTACAAATGAAAGTAAAATTAGCTTAATATTATAATTATTATAAAATGTTACAGAAATTTTTGGATGAGATGGTTAAACTTCCTGATGTGTGGTTTGTGACAAACTGGCAAGCAATTGAATGGATGAAGAAACCAACACCAATTAATCATCTAAGTGAATTTGAACCCTGGAACTGCAAACGACAGGTCTGTAACTTATGCTGGAGTGACAAATATAGTAGCTTAGTCAAGTAAAGTACGGTGAATTCACACTTTCATGACCAATAGATTGTTCATGATAATTGCTTATTCCTTTTGCTATTATGTGCTATATCCATGTCTTTAAGATTGCAAATTAAAGCTATGAAACAAAACAAACATAAATCAATATATGCACTTTTTGCATTGGGTTCAGCATGTACGATACTTTTGGATTAATTCTGAAATCCTCAGCAAAAATAATAAAATACAACATATAAAGATTTTGTATACCATTGTTTTGGGGCATCTTGTAAAATGAAGGAAACCTTAAGCCTCATGTTTATTGATATAAATGGTCATGTGTTACACTTTTCAATTCTAACATTCAGATGGACTTTGATTGAATTTAGTAATGCATACCTTTATTAAAAAACAACAAAAAAATATTAACTTTGGAATTTGAAGACCGAACTGAACCTTCATATTTAAGTAACTGAATATATAATAAATCAAAGAAAAAATCTTCTTATGAAAGTTAAAATAGATATTAATAAGACAAAGACATGTAATATACATACATGTTATCTCTGTAGATAAGCCTTTTTTCTTTGGTACACTTGATACCATTTGCATACAAGGCACAGAACACTCATGGATGCTTATGCACACATCTCTCCAAACTTGCTTAATATGTAAACTTGCTCAGTGTTAGTTTCTTGAATGTACTTATAATGCCATTAGTGAGCAAGTCTTCAACTTGCCAGATTTCTATTTACATTAACCATGTCTGGCTAGATATAATGTTGACATATTTTTTTGTACATATTCAAAACATTCATACCATGCTTGGAATATATCTCAGAATTTATAAAACATTAACTATAATTTTGATTACAACTTGTTATAGCTGGAGCCAAATGAACTTGCCTGCAATATTGGGAAGAGCTGCAAACTGCACAGTAGAGTCCTACAGACGGATCGATTTTTGTATACATGCTATGAGTGCCCCAAACAGTACCCATGGATAAGAAACGAGTTTGGCCTAGATTAAGGTATACATTACTATATGGATAGAGAATTAAATCCATCATTTCCAGGGCACGTGTTGATCTACAGTAAGTGCACAGCAGATTAAAACTTCAGCAGAGCACTTTAAGAGTGTTATGGAGAGTACACAGCAAATCCTGAAGCCAAAAATACCAACTTCATAGTGTTGTAAGAAAATTCAAGAACATATGTGAACCTCCTACTTCTCTGAGATGTCTTAAAATGGCTTACACTTTGGCTTTCTGATACATAAAATCATAAATGTGAATTAATGTCAGTTAATGTGATAGACTGACATGAGGATATTTGTCCAGTTCAACTTTACAGGTCTCTCTTTGACATCCCTGAATCTATTATCTATATAAATAAAAATGTAAATGTTCGTTTTGAGTCTTACCTAAGATCTCCGAAACTTCTTCACCGATCGCTTCGAAATTTTGATACAACGTAGCATTCGAACACCCGCGTGTTTCTGTGTGCCTATTATGTAGATGTCACACCCGTGACAGGTAAAAACAGGTAAAAACCTGCCACATGTTCCGAATCCAGCAGTCGTTTCAATTGTAACGCTAGAACAGTTAGTGTATACTTCCATGGAAATGCAATAACACTTTGCCGTTGCTAGCATTTCCTAAGCAACGGATGAAACTAACTCTTCAATAAGGTATTCCCTATCCCGTCCGAGCGCTGGCTATATGTATAAGAGAGTTTAGCTCCGGCGACTGTTCAGTATCATGAGTGTTGCGAGTATCACGAGGTCACAAGTATCACAAGAGATTCCGAGTGAAATCACAGCATCCGCATCCGTTTTCTTGACTGTTTTCCTTATTTTTCAGTGCAATTGCCGGTGGGATTGAGCTGTGTCGATTGATCTGCATTTGAATTGATTTCGTTAGACTGAGCCACAGCAAAGCATGGCCGGGCACAGCTAGTAGTATATAAATATATAATTCTCAAGTATACCAGTACATACACACCATTCTTTTTCTCTCAACATAGAAATATCACATCTCCTGAACAGCATAAGTGAAAAGAAAGAAAGACTTGAAAACGTGTATTCCATAACGCAATTTACGAAGTTCCCAATGGCATTCTTCGCACTTTATTAAGTTTTCTTGTGATCTGTTTATAAAATTCGACAGCTTATGGCATCCATGAAAAGTCCATTTATGGCATTAAGTAATGTGGACTTCATTGTGGGCCAGTATGTCTGAAAATTGGAATTTGCTGACAACTTTTAATGAAAATCTCCTGCACTTAATTTTTAAGAAATGTGTCAAACAGTTTAGGAGCTGATACTAAGTCACAGATAGATGGCAATGCATGATCTGCAACAAATTTTTTCAAGGACCTCCAATATAAAATGTTCTAGAAACCATCCCGATGGTTCTGAAGTTTAAAGATAATATAAGAAAAAAAATGATTTTCTATAATTATCTCATAAACCACACGACTTACCAAAAAAGTGTATTGGGCATAAAATGTGTTAATTTTTCTCTACAACTTTTGTTTGAAACATTTCTTCCTTCAATAAATATTTAGTGAGTTATATTTAAATGTTCACAGAAACACACATAGGTCTTAATGACAAGTGCCAATTACATTTGTCCAATTTTAACAATAACATGAACTGGTCAACAACTTTTAGTGAAAGTATTCCATTTCAAATTTTAAAAATATCTGTCCAGTGGTTTAGGTACTTATATCATGTCACAGACAGCCCAACATGACCACCACATACAGCATTTTTTATAGTTTGTAAAGAATGTCTAAAAACTAACAAGTATGCTTCTTTTGGTGAAAACAGCCAAGCAACGACTAGCAGAGAAACAAGCAGTTGGAATTTAAATTGTTAAAGGGAGAATATGGGTACATCCTATTCTCTACAGCACAGAGAATATGATCCAGAACATTTTTTTTTCCCCAGATGAACAGTGGCCACTTAGATTGGGGAAGTAGACATCACTGTTTCATATCAATTATTTTTGTTGAAAATATATTAAATCTTCAGTTTTGAAATTTCATCTCAGAAAGAAATATGTCAGTCTATGAGACTTTAGCCTGCAAACACACCTGAGGACAATCTGTGTAAATGAAAGCTTCAACAGCCAATGTTCATCTCTTGAGCCTGAGTCAAAGTGATTTCCTGACATTGTGAATATCATGTTGGGGTCCTCCTCACTTACTCAAGAGAACAAAATTGATGCATGTTTATACCTACCACAAAAGTTCTGCAAAGTGAGGAAGAAATTAAGATGCTCTTTGTAAACCACAGATTAATCAGATAGCAAAAACTATTGCCAGATAAATAAAGTAGTGCAAAACATTGTACCTCCAAAAGTTTTAGTTGTATTTGAATGTAATAAAAATGTGTATTTAAAAATAATGTTCTATTCCCCGTCAACCCATAATTTTTAGCCATGCAAATGTAACCCTACCTATTCCTGAAACCACATTTAGCTTGTATTATATTTTTATTGCTAGATAGGTGTATATTTAATTAAAATTGCTAAACAGTTTGAAAATTTCTGGTAGAGATTATTTTGCTCGCCACAGCAAGAGTGAGAGAGAGAGTGCATGTGTGTGCGCACACAATATACCTCAACATCAAACTAGAATTTTTAATTGGTCATTAACATTAACTTTTTAGGGTTCAATTTGAAGAGACCTTTAACATTTAAAAATTCTGAACGGTAAACAGTAGCCAGTTTGGAGAAATAATGATACTTTTCTGGTGTAGGCAAGACAGTGTCACAGAACACAGTCATGCAGGCACATGTGTAAGGTCTTTTTGTCACATCAAACAGCTGTTATTTCAGTTGGGGCTCACTGCAAAATTTTGAAAAACCCTATCATGGCAACAAAATGAAAGAGTATATTTAGACATGAATACAAATCCAAAATAATATATNAAAAATTAAAACATCACTCTAAGAATTTTATTCTTGTTTTATACTATAACTTCTGTTTTATATAATCTGATTTATTGTATTTTTACATCAAGTGTTTTATATAATTAACAGTATTGTATCCAATTTTATTAGTACTGCAGTTCAGTGGTGTATATATGTTAACCATGTATTTTCCTGATGATGCCTATTGATAGCCGAAACATGTAGCAGAGCCGAAACTAGGCACTGATCTTGATATCTGTTGTGTTGTGATGGTTGTAATAAAGAGGTTTTATATTGTAACACAACAGGATGCATGAAATTAAAAAAAAAATTTGTGGGAAGTGAGAAGATTTTCAAAAAGCAAGATAAGATGGTGGTGTGCATTAACTTTCCAGACATTGTTTAAAATACTGAAGAACAAATCAAATAAATGGCATATACTAAGCCTAACTAACTAAAATGTTTCCCATCCTTTGTGAGTGTATACTGGTGAAATCTGATTTGCAATCTCAGCTTCTGACTGTGATTCACATAATGGGATAATATCTGTTAGGCACAGGAACTGCAAACGGCACAGATAGTAACCAGATGTATCATAAAGGATAATTTTCATAAGATAAAAGTGTGAAACAATGGTAGGCTAATACAATTACTGAGTTTTTTTAATATTATCCATTGCCACTTTTTTTGTTTAAAAACAACGTTTAAGAGACAGACTGTGTCTGTCCTCAAGTAAAACCCTACTCATGACGGCCCAATCGATAGAGCCAGTCCCTGTAACTGCATTATTTTCATTACAAGTGTAGTAATGTAAATATGTCATTTGATAGAAAAATAAACAGTTACAGATTCCTCTACAGCTTACATACCACTACCATAACATATGTTTTACAGTTAAGTATAATGGCTGATTCACAATCATCATTCACATCCATTATGTCAAAAACAATCATAGCATTTACAACCCATGACATAGTATAGTGTATGTACATAAGTTTACTTTTCTTAGTTGGTTATTTAATGACACTGTATGTACTAAAATTATATAGCATTATATCCATAAGTAGCATCAAAATTTGAACTGCTTCATGTGTTACACCTGTTATTCAGGTCTGATATAAATCGATGTGTTTATTCTCATATCTGCGCAAGTACAGCAAATTATGGACAAAATTTGGGACTTGTGAGCACACAGTAAACTGTGAGTGGAGTACGAGTGGGCTGTGCTTGTGTATGTGCAGAAAAAAATGGATAGGACTTTGGCTTGTGAAGAACAGCTTCTGATCAATAGTCAGTTGCAAGTAGAAGTTTAAGAACATCTTAAAATATTTAATTCTGATAATGCTTATGATGATGAGACTTCAAATTATTCTTTGTTCTTTTGATACCCTTGTGATAAACACTTCAATTGAGAATAAATATTGCCGTACCATACTATTACTTAAACTTTGGTGCTATACTGTGTTATCATAATTGGAATTTATGGGACAGCCTTGTAGTTACTAATTTTAACAATTTTCAGATGAGTATCCATTACAATGAGAATTTCTATGAATTGCATACATTTTTGTAATATCATTCCACTCTACAATAATCAAACTTCTTTGGATATTATTCATCATCCCAATTTTTATGTGAGATAATGTTTGGAGACTAGACTCTGTCTCCATCCTGAGGTAAAAATCTACTCTGCTGGGCCCAATTGAAAGAGCTAGTCCCTGCATCTACACCTAACAAACAACTTATTCATATGTAGGACTTGAGGTTCTCACAGCAGTGGTTATGAAGAGTTCTATCTTCTGGGACATTACTGGGAGTTTTGAAGCACATGTCACCCCCATCTTCAGGGTCGAAGACCAGGGTGAATCAAGTAGCAATAAGAGCTCTACTTGCTATCTGCTTTATGCTGATTTCCTCCTTGGCTTATTCTTTGACACTGAAGATGGAAGCTACATGTTCCATTGAAATGTTGGATGACTTTCAATGGACTACATGGTGTTATATCTCAGAAGTAAAGTAAAAAGTAAAAGTAAAGTAAAGGTATCCCTGTAACAGGCCTTGGAGGCCCATGGGGTTGTGAGATGTTGAGGTTCCCACATTTTCTAGGCAATCGGCTCATAGGTGGCGGCAAGGTATATCTCAGAAGACAGAACTCAACTTGTTCATAAGACTTCAACACTGCATAAAAGCTCCTACAAACCTACTTAAAGGTTTATCATTTATTCCTCCAACAATATCCAGAGGAAATATCTGTCTTCAACTTATTCTAACAGTAACAAAATTTAAAATGTTCAGAGTTCCTAGTTACAGATACCAAGTAGTCAGGAGTGCCAATAAAAAATGTCATGCTTTCTACTTAAAATCCTTCAGTGGAAGTTTCTTTCCCTGAATATCACCCTACTGCCATCTAACAACTCAGAGAGAACCACATGGGATGCATTCTGCCTCCTATATCAGCAGCAGAATTTGTTATAAGCTAAGGAGCTAACTTGTAATTTCAACAACTCATATGATTTTAAATATCTGACATTATATACATCTGTACAGTTGACACTGTTCCAAACAATGCACTCTATAACGAAACAACTTTTGTTTCAAATTTATTGACTCTTAGATATATTTCAAATATATTATATACATCTGATTTACAAACATTCTGCACATTGTTTTATGGCTCTACTAATAATTAGGATGAACACCTCATAAGCTGAAACTGGCTAATTAACACAAAAATAATTTGGAAATACACTGTTTAATCAAAGGATTTTTATTGGGGTTTGTACTTTCAGGGATAAATTTCTGCTTGTATAGTACAGAAGCACACTGTCCCTTAAAAATAACATTAACTACATTTCAAATATTTTTCAAAATTTACAGGTTTCAATTCATCTTCAAACATTAATTACAAGTGTTTCAAACACAGTTCTTTATAAAAAAAAATATCAACATTTCATACAGCAACTTTAAAAAATTCATTGCTTTGCTATGTTCATTTTCCAGTGCACTATTCCAGCAGACTTATCTTGACCTCCTATCACATTGGTCATTAACTGCATGCTTGAAACTATCCAACATAAACTGGGCTTACAAATTCCTGACAACATGTATTATGGCAGGGCATATGACATTAATTATCTCCACAGACTAGACATAGAGTAAACTGCCTTGCACATGTTACAGCAACATGGTGTGTGGTTTTTCAAGCAACTGTTTGAATTTGGATATCCACTGTGCACCCACAGCTCCATCCACAACACGGTGATCACAGCTGAGTGTCACAGACATAAATTCTGCTTCTTTAAACCTGCAACAACAGAGATACTAGTCCAGCAGTCAATTTTGAGATCTTTGATTTCCAGCCACAATGTAATCTGAAACTGATTTCATATCAGAATTATAAAATTACTGATAAAGATAACCAAAATTTCTTTTCTTCTTTTCAATTCAACTCTAATACAAAATTATGCACAACTGTTTCTGAGCTATTTAGAATATTAAATTTTCAGATTAACAGGGTTTTAGTATCTGTTTACTTTTCCATTAAAATATGCAACCAAACTATCTGAGCAATCTTTCTACTGAAAACCTTTACAGTTCACTCAAATCTATGGAGTACAGTGAGGGGACTCATTGCAAGGGGTGCATAAATCACTAGGGAAAACGAAAAAGCTTCAAGAAAAACTTGCTCCTGTCTCACTCTTTCTATCACAAATCCAACATCAGCAGCCCAGGCACTGCATTTGGTCCTCTGCAGTAAGAAATCTTCTGAGAGTATTCTTATCCTATTTATTTACTATCTGAAGATATTATTTTCATGCCAAATGTGAAAACAATTTAGTACTTACCCTGCTTCTGAATCTTTATCAGGTACAAGTCTTTTCTCATTTGTTCCTACAGCCAGAATACACACCTGGGGGGGATTAATGATGGCAGAAAAGTTCTTCACACCAAACATTCCCAAATTAGAAATGGTAAATGTTCCACCCTACAAAACAAACCATGGAATATCAATTATAATAAGCATAAGTGTATTTTCTTTATTGCTAGTGGGGTGGGACTAAGTTCCTTGTACTGCGGCCACTTCTGGCCTATTGTACCAGCCCCAAATGATAGGTGAGGGTGATTGTGGAGCAATTGATGGAATGAAGATTGGCAGGGGAAACCGAAGTACTGGGAGGAAACCTGCCCCAGTGCCACTTTGTCCACCACAAATCCCACTTGACCAGACCCGGGATTGAACCTGGGCCGCAGCGGTGGGAAGCCAACGACTAACCGCTTGAGCTATGGTGCGGCCTAAGCATAAGTGTAAGTATAAGTATAAAGTGTATTCCTCCTCAAGTTCCACCACATCATGGATAGAAGGTTTGCATGTCCCATGACTTGGAGACCTATGCTGGCAGAAGCATAAGCTCAAATAGTTGCCCATGCCAGAAAGGGCAAAGGGTAGAGGTCAGATTAAATGCAATCCCTGGTCCTGCAGATTGGGAGTTGGGTGTGGGATAACAACCCCAACATGGAAAATTTTCCTGTTATGAAACCATGAAGGAGACCAAGTCCCACACAGGGCTGTAGCACCAGTTAAGAAGATATAGTATATTAAGACAAACTTCTATAGAGCGATTCAGGAAAAGTCTGCAAAATACTGTATGCATATTAATCAAATGGTTCTGAGTAGAGAAATGCTGAATGAAAGGAAGTTCATTATCATAATTTGGTTCATCCTGGTCTGTCACACTAGTAAGTGTATATATGAATTTTAATCACCTTTTGAAGATGGTCATTTTGACCGAAACATGTAAGGACAAAAAATTAAAAACACAACTTCTATCAATCACACTAGACAGTGGTTAAAATTCTTATATACAAGTTCATTATCAAAGTTAATAGAAAGTCCATCGAGTGTAACAATTTGTAGGTCAAATTGTTACACTCGACGGACTTTCTATTAACTTTGTGATTGATAGTGTAACGGACCAAAATGAAACAATTAAAAAAAAAAGTTCATTATCACCTGAAGGTGATAGGTATAGTGATTAATATTCTTTAGTGACCACCTGTTATACAAAATGTATTTATATTTTTCACATCAACAATGCACATGAAAAGTATTAATTGCAGAATTTATGTTTTCTTTGTATGTTACTTTCATTGCATTTTTGTTTCTTGAAACAGTGACTACGGCTTCACCTTGGACCCAAAGGATATTAATCTAGAAAGCTGCATTCATAAATCAAGTTTTCATTGTCCTGGCAACAAAATTACAAAATTTCTTTATTCTAATTTAATCTGGCCACATATGTTACTATATACTGCCCCTTTTTAACAAGTCCTCTAAAAATATTTTACTTGCAGAAGGAAGCAGGTTCAAAAAGGCTCAAATAAAAAGGAAGTCAGGCTCAGTGAGACAGTGTCCGCTACAGATCTCCAAAATATTCTGTTCGGATCCCAATTGCCAGAAATTCTGAGTTTTTGTGCATTTCCTTCAGATCACCTAAGCAATTGCTGAATTTTTAAGTTTATTTTATTATGATTTTCCAATTGCATAGGTTATACAGTGTCAAGTGTAAGAACAGCTGTGGATGATTAACTGAGGGGAATGTGGAAAGAAGTGATCATTGCTTAAGATATGTTCCTAGGATTTGCCTGGATTGATTGATTCGAGGGTTACATAATAACACTCTTCAGGTGCACAGGATATATATACCATAAAATGAGAGGATAATCATGCATGATAAATTGGAAAAGACATGGAATGAAGCAGTCATAGCCTAATTTATGATACTGGTACTATCCCAGCATTTGCCTGGATGAACTGAGGAACACCACCAAAACCTTAATCAGGAGATCTGGGATTCAAACTCAGAACTTTGACAGCATGAATCAAGATTATTATCCACTCAACTGCAAATAGTAATCTGTCTGAAAGAACTGAGATAACCAAGAAGAACCAAAGCTTGGATTCTCAGCTTCTAGGCCAGGAATCACACATGTGACCTCCAAACTATTGTGATATTCTGTGTAAGTTTTGAGGTTTTCACGGCGATGACTATGAAGAAAGTCGTTCCTCTGAAACGTCGGCCAAAACGAAGAATACACGGCGCCTAAACCCAGAAGACGACTTTCTTTATTGTGATATTCCATCATAAAATGCTAGAATAACAGTTCTTCAAAAGGATCATAAACCTCCTTTTTTTTGCTTTTACATGTCAAGACAGTGTTACATATATGCAGCACAATATCCCCATTAACTACCACAGCAGTGTCATACCTGGAACTCGTGTGGCTGAAGCTTGCCTTCCCGTGCTCTTGCTGCCAGTGATTTCACCTCTCTACTAATTGCAGCCAATCCCTTCCTTTCAGTTCCGAACACAATAGGTGTTATTAATCCCTTGTCTGTGCTTACTGCTACACTGATGTCCACAGAATTGTACCTGACAAGAGAACATGCCACAAACAGCATGAAGGCAATGCAGTGAATTTTCCTTATATCATATTTCATATCAATGTATATTCAAATTAACACACATTGCATTAAACCCCAACCAAAACTGCATATACATTATATTGTGGGGTACAGACCCATTGCTAGGCAGACCTTGAAACAAAATATGATGCAACAGCATGGTGAATATGCCTCTACAACAAAGAAGGTACTGTTGAAAACGGTGTGTCCTACTCAGTCCATACAAAAAGGAGTTATAAGGAAGACAACTGGGGCAACCCGGTTAGCAGTCAGTTGAGAGTTGAGCTCTGCAAGGAAGGCTGAGAAGAGATGGTGCTATAATTCAGTTGTGAAATGTTAACCAGAAGGCAATGGCGTGACCAGAAAAGCTGAAGAATCGCCATTGTTAAGAGTGATTATCAGGAAATGTCTAGTGAAAGCAGACTGAAAACACTTATAGTGTAGGGATCTGTAGTGTGGAACTCAACAATAGTGTTATAGTTATTTGTAGTTATGACCTCTAAGTGGTCAATAAATCTAATTATCCAAAACCCCATCTATAGTCACCAATAAATTATGACAATATAAAATAAGTTTTCAGTAGTCCGTTGTACTACAAATGCCATTTTTTAAGCAGGAAATTTCATGAATCTATCCAATAGTTATTTGCATTTATTAGCAGAATAAATTAAAAACATTGGATTATGGAAAATTAGATGTTACAAATATGACCAAATCTCTTTAAAAGGCATTATATTCTATTCAGTGTACAAGACTGTTATATTCTCTTCATGCAGATAAGCAGAAGAAGCACTGCTTTAAGTTAGATTATAGTGAAGCGGCCTCCGTAGTCTAGGGGTAACGTTCCCACCTCATGACTCAAGGTATGCGGGTTCAAACCTGTTGGAGGTCGTGGAATTTTTAAGGGCGGAAAAATTCAGGGAACAAGTCCTCCGGGAGGAACTTTAAGCCGTGGGTCCCGTGTCATAGATTTACGGCACGTAAAAGATCCTCGTGTCTCTAGGAGACCTCTGAGCAAAATTAGGTAAAAAAGTTTCCTGCCCAAGTAGTTTCCAATGCCTCCAGTAGATGGGGAAAGTATCGGGTACCACTGCCAGTAGAGGGGCCGAACTCACTGGCTGAATGGGGCTGATAGAGAGCACCAGTATTGGAAGGGTATGGCGATTGGTAGAATATCAAAGGGGGACATACAATAGATCAACAACTGGTCACGGTGCATGGGGAAACCCACCCCCTCCAATAATGAATAATAGATTATAGTGACTGCTGTCACTGTCATCAATGGAATGTGCTTAGTGTAGTGTCACCAGATGTGAAAATTACATTAGATTTAAAACACAACTGCACAACAATTACTGGATCAAATGAAAAGAAACTAAAACAGTTCATGTTGTATGAATTAATAATTTTTCTTAAAGATTAGTTCAATTAAGAACACTTACTCTCTAATTACTGTGTCCATCCATGCCGAATTTGCTTCAGGTATTTTTTTACATGCCAGTGATGCTGCTTTGATGATGAAGTCATTGATGCTAAGTTTGAGATTATCTTTTTCCAATAACTTGTTCAGTTTCTGTCTCAGAGATAGAAGTTGGTCCATGTTTATATCCACCGATAAATAGAAATGTGGTATTGTCTGTAATAATCAGTAGAAATTTTATCAAATCTAAGGGAAACTATCAAAGAATAAAATAAAATTACATAATCAAGGTATTCATGACTTGGAATTTATACAAAGGTTTTTAGCTTGAACTCCTCCTCCTATCCCTTTTTGTCTTTCTATCAATATTTCTCAGAGGTTCCATGTTTTGGCTACGCATGTTCTGAACTGAGGGTGATAACCTTTTAAATGCTTTCCTTGAATTTTAGGCTGTTCCACATAAATACAAATTGTACTACGCCATTTTCACCAACAGTAAAATTTCAGTTTTGAACCCTATGTAACAGCCAATGATTATTCAAACTTGAAGATGTTCTAAAAGTGCAGTTATTCTTTCTAATCAGAACAGTATTCTGAGATGTACTTTCTGAGGAAGATGTTGCTCTTACTTGCATCTAGAGGAGTATAGACTGCTGCTTCTAGGATTAAGGGATATTATAATTGTGGGTTCAATTTTCAAGGTTCAGTTCAGTCATAACAGATATATAAAGGAAAGGGAAAGTTTTCCCTGTGCTTAAATTATTAAGCACTGCACCATGAAGGCATATGGGAGAGTGGTTGTACAGATCCACATTTTCTTGGCCTCAGCACTAGCTGGAGCTGAGTGGTCAGCTTCATACCCTGGCCACTTACCTCCAGGGAAAGAGCAACTGGTGTCCACTGGATAAGAGGCTGGGTGGACCCCAGAACTGGTCTGGATAATGTGGAGAAAATACTTGACCCTACAGGGACTCAAACTCTGACCCCTTGGTCATCCAGCCCATAGCCAGTCGCTATACCGACTGCGCTATCCTGGCTCCTACCCTTATTTATGATTTTCCCAATTTGAAATCAAATATAGCTACTTCATTCCCACCTCTCAAAAACCTTACATGAGTTTTTACGTTGAAGTCAATAATTAGGAAACCATACCTGTTTTGACAGTTGAAGTCTTTTTGCAATAACTGCCCGAATGCTGGAAACTGGCAAATCTGTGTATGTTGCACCTGGGGCAGCAGCTGGACGAGCAGCTGCAGGGGTAGCTGTGGGAGGAGCAGCTGGTACAGCAACAGGTGCTTTTCCCAGGTCAGCAGCTGTTACAGATCCATATAATCCAGAACCTGACACCACAGCCTTAAAGGAACACATTCTAGTATACATTACATGAAGAATAAATGGAACAAATATGTACCTGTGAATGAAAATCCACAGTTACACATGATAAATTCTCTTCCCTGTTTGCAGCCTGCTGTGTATCATGATTTGTGGTACTCTGGCTGACAAACAACAGTGAAAATAAACTGATCAAATTGCTTACATTGATTTTATTTAATAATGTGAACCAAAACATGTAGCAGTTATTAAATAAAACCAACGTAAACAATTCAATTGGTTTGTTTTCATTGTTGTGCTGACAGCCAGAATACCAAAAATCACAAAAAGCAAAATGATAAATTTTGTAATCTTAACACAGACCGTTAATATCAACAATGGTATCTCCCTTACTGAAAATAATGTTAAGTCAAAATATAATCTCATTCTTAAAATTCTCAGCCTTGAATACGTTTTTATATACTGAATATAAAATCCACAGTTCCCTGTTTAACTAAAAAGCCACAATTATTTTCAAATGAAAAATTATATATTTTTTAATTAATATGAAATTGATATCATCTGCAGGGTTATCATAACAAACTCCTTGAACCCCGAGTAGACAATGTCAGTCATTATGGACATTTCACCATGAAAATTACTTCTTGTATGCTAGAATCCTATAAAGTAAAAGGTAAAGTCGTCTCTGTGCTTAATGAATTAAGCGCTACGCCATGAAGACGTATGGGGGAATGGATGTATAGATCCATGTATTCTTGACCTTGACACTAGTTGGAGATGAGCAGTCAGCTTCACGTCCCGGCTGCTTTATCCCCCTGGGAAAGAGCCTCCATGACCTACTGGATAGGAGGGTGGGTGAGCCCTACAACTGGTCTGGATCATATAGAGTTCACAAAGAATTATAATTTTCATACTGTCAAATCAAGCCCTTTCTCTGCTGCCAATCTCCTTGCTAGGGGGCTGGCAAACACTCTTTCACCACCAGACAAAGCTGGAGCAGTTTCAGCAGAAGTGGGTGCAGCTGGCATTGGTGCTGGCGCTGGTGCTGGTGTTGGTGGTGGTGGTTGTGGTTGTGGTGTCTGTACTAATGCTGGTGCTCCCACTTGTGCAGAAGCTGCATCTAGGGCAGCAGGTGAATCATCTTTGAAATCCTTAAATGCTCCAACATCAGACTGGCTCTCCGTAATAATGCACACAAGCTGTAAGGTCAAGACATGCTCTCAATTTGTAGGAGAGCACCTGGTCTGTCTCTCATGCTCAAATAAAAACTTTAATAAATTCCACAGAGCCCACCAAGGGTAAAGAGTAAGATATCTACACAGAAAAGAATCAAGATGAATTACAATTTACCTTGCCAACCCGCACATCTTTCGTGCCTGCTGGAACAAGAATCTTTGCTAGATAGCCTTCCTCTGGTGTCTCAAAACCCATTGTGGCTTTATCTGTTTCAATTTCTGCCAATAAATCTCCTTCATTCAACTTGTCTCCTGAAATAATAATAACAATAATACAACACCACCAAAACAACAATAATTTAACACAATTCCTTTATTAAAGCGCTAACAAACAGCCTATAAACAAGCAAGCTCTATCAAATGTATACACAGAATAAACCAACAACAGAATTATTACTATTATTGTTTTATGCTGTTGTGATTATTATTATTATTATTATGGTGGGGACAATGATGAATATCATCAATGTTGCACAAATGTCTTGTATGTTAACATACAAAGAGTCGATGTTATATGGTGAAACTTAAATGCACATGCAAAGTGCCCACTATCTTAAAACAATGCTAATGATTTTCACCCCAAATTCCATATTTTCCCCCTGCCTCCACCTTGAGAAAGCAAGTGTCAAACTGACCTTGTTGGTTCAGTCTTCCAATAAATACCCCATTATACAGCATGTATGGTGAACAAGGTTTGCAAGTCATACAAACCTGCTGGTTATATCAGAAATACTCTTATACAAACCAAATACAGTCAAATTTAGTTCTTGAGTGGGGTTTTCCTGGGTGACATAGTGAATTGATGGACAAAAGATTCTGGATATATATACTGTTTTATGATCATAAATTCAATTAGCCTCTATTGTAATGGGACGTAATGACAGATGATGATGGATGATGCTGTTGGCAGTGACTGGGAGAACAATCACGTGGGGATTGCACACATGTGCATCGCAAATTTGTTTTTGAATTCCTTACTTACTTACTCATGCAGCTGAGCCCTTCTGGAGGAGCTGCCAATTCTGCAGCTACTCAAGAATTTCCCAGCATTTTATGGAACCTGAAGGTTCGTTTTTGAATAGCTTTATAAAAATGGTAGTAAATTTTCTTTGAAATTCCTGCCAGTTTGACAAGAATTTATGATAAAGGAATAACAGATAACCAGGAGCTTACTGTAGAATGCATTCTTGTTCACATACAAACACATACACATTTTCTATGCCATCTACATTTATATTAGGGTAGCAATTTCATTTTGTTTAGAAATTAAATTCTATATGTCAGCGTAAGTTCTAAAGATGATCAACTGACAGGCCTTATGAGCAACTCACAAACATTAATTTATGAAGCACAACGTACTTGCCTTCCTTTTTTTCCCAGCTGATGATAGTGCCCACCTCCATAGTTGGTGACAATGCAGGGAGAGCTACTTTTGTGTGTGTAGGCAAATCAGGACTATAATAGCACTTCTGTGTAATGTCCCACCTCCATGAATTATTCTTTTTTCCAAGTAATGAGGTTCCATACCTGCAATATTACAACTTCAGATAACTATAGTTTCTTCTTCAATAGTTACCAGACTGATCTGATATAACATTACCAAGTTTAACAGCTAGAATGTTGTAACTTATGGCTTCAGGCAAGATCTCTGACCACCTGCATTTTACCCACTTGACAAAGGAAATATGACTGATGAATGAAGGTGAAGGAGCTGGCCAACAGAGAGGATCCATAGATTAAAGTTGATTCAAAGCACAGTGGATCCCTGGTATAGCTCCCATTCACAGAAAACAGAATTTGTCAAAGGTGAGGGAAGAACAAATGGAGAAACCTAAAACTGAATCTGGTCATTCTTGAACAAGGAACCTGTGCCTCACTTCTAGACTACTAGGTGAAGATCACATTTACATTTACATTTACATTTATTTTCACTTCATGGATCCAATCATCTCCCAGTAGGGCTGGATATAAAACATGTCACACATTACAAATTCATGATGACTACACATCATACATGGGGGCATGCAGTAGCGTAGTTGGTTGAGGGGCTATGCTACAAGCCAGAAGGTCATGGGTTCAAGTCCGAATGAGGTCATTGGACTTTCTTCAGTTGACCTAATCCTTCCAGCAGCACTAGACCCTAGGATTTACTCAGCCTCTAACAGAAATGAGTACCAGGAATATTCTTGGAATATTCTTGGGGTTAAAGGGCAGCTGCTGCGTAGGGCTGACAGCCTTGCCGCCATCTATGAGATGATCGTCTAGATACTGTGGGACCCTCAACATCTCACAATCCTATGGGCCTTCACGACCTGTTACAGGGATAGCTTTACTTTACATTTTACACATCATACATCCTTTGTCCAATAAAATATATAATCAGGCCTCACCCAGACAGCACAAGTTGTCAAGACTACACACATAGGCCATGGAAAAACCACTGTAACATTCACACCTTGCCATTCCACATACTGGCCAGCCATATCATCAAGACAGTTTCATTGTAACATATTAAAATTCATAACAAACACAGACGTCATATATACTGCCACACTTACAACAAGCAAGTCTCAACAATGTATAATACAAGCAAACAGAATATTTATTAACTCTTAACTTCTGAATCCCCTGCATGCTCAACAAATTCGTCAATAGAGTAAAATGCGTTACTTTGCAAATAATTTTGTAAAACAAACCTAAATTGATTTTTATCATGTTTTAAAACTGAAATATTTGATGGCAGAGTGTTAAATAACTTTATACCTGAATAACACATCCCAGAACTATGATTTAGATCTTGTAAATAATGGCATCAAAACTACAGATATTTTTTTGCAATTGCCTTCATTAAGGTGCAATCCCCTCTTAAACGTCCCAGTTTGTTCTTACACTTTTAAAGTTCAATTTCTACAGCTCTAGCCCAGTTACATGTAGTGAGGGTTCTACATGCAGAACTTTCCTCAGTGCAGTTTGTACCTACTGTCCCCCACAAAATATTAAATTACAATTTCATTGCATGTACTTTACATAAATTTTATTTATTTATTTACTTATTTGCAGTTTATTAAATGCTGCTGTCAGTAGCTTGGACTCTATAGCACAAAATGGTGGGATGACTAAGGAATCACGAACAAAAAAGGATGTAAAAGAAAGCAACCCAACATTTTCTTTGAGGGCCAGAGGAAAACCTCCATCAGGATAACCAATCTCCGGGCCAAGACTTGCATCCAGGACCTCCAAAATACAAAACAGGAGTGCTGCCCACTCAACTGTGACATTCAGTCAGTTTTACATAAAGTGACAATCGTATGATAATGAAAAATGGTGAGAATATGAAATGGCAGATCCCTGCAGGAAAGGAAACCCCTATAAAACATCAAAACTGTTGCCAAATTCTAAATATTAACCTGTGACAAAAACGTGATATTGAATGTGATTTATAAAAATTCACCCTAAAATATCAGTGACAATATTTTATACATTCAAAGGACAAGTAGTACATGTATAACAGACACTTAAACTGTATAGCTACTATGACTAAATACATATATAAACAGTGAAAAATACTGCTTATGGTGAGCAGCGATGAAATTAAATGAAAAGATTTTCTTGGGACAAAGCATGAAAAACCTGTTGCAATACTCCAAGAAAAGGCCTTATGAAAGGTAATGTTGCCCCAGTGCTTTATTAATTAAGCATTATACCATGAAAACATATGGGGGAGTGGACGTATAGCCTTTACTGACATATTTGGAGAGAAGAGAGAGCTTCTTTGTTGCACCTGAATTGCTAACTGCTGCTCAAAACCTGATCTAAACTGTAACCTATAACATGCTAACTTAATGAAATCATGAACTTGAATTTGGCTGACACAGGATGTTTGGTAAGGTATTCTATGATATGAGATTAGAAACACTTTTCTATATCATTCAACTATGCATAAATTCTGCGATTTTGGAATGATTGTCAGTCTTCAGAATTTGGTATATGAATGTAACATGATTTCTTCACAGAATTCTGCTACATGCTATATACAATACAGCATAGGGAAACAATAAAGTATTTTCCCCTCAAAGACAATATTATTACTCTTTATTATCTTCAGACACACAAAGAATAACTGGACTTAAAAAAAAAGGGTTACATGAATGCAAGAGGAAACCAACAAAACAAAATACTTATATGTTCTGAGTAATAACTTTCCTTTAGCAATATACACGTCCAGTAAATTGCGTTTACTTATATTCTAGGAAATGAGCCAAGAAATGCACAAAGAGCGCTTTCAATAGCTCATATAATATAGCGTCAAAAGATAGAATTATAAATTGTAAAGAGTGTGAAAGGAAGAAGTCAGCTTCATTTAATGCCCTGGCTCTGTTTTGTTTCCTTTTGGAGGGACTACGGAAACCAACGAAAAATCACTTAGGATATCCGGTCCGCGAGCAGAGATTTGAACCTGGGACCTCCGCAATATGCATAAGTACTAACCACCCGGACGCTACGAGTGGCTAGCTTAGATCAAAGTCAAACTCTATCCTGTAATGACAATTTCGTGCAGTACTTTATATTACTTTTAAAAATTTATTCAAATTTAAAGTAGTAAGATTACCTGTGAGGATGTTTTCTCCTAACATATTCGACGCTTAAGCACCTGACTACATTTGTTCGCAAAGCTCTTTTAACAGTTAATTTTAAGATATCATTTCGCCATATAATCGTTCGTAACATTGTTTTGTTTATATCTTAAACTATATGTATATAAAGTTTCTGATATCTAGATAAACTTTATAATTCGTTAACCGTTCACAGCATAATCCAAGGACGTTGCCCTGAACAGCTGGAAGGTCACATTGGGTAAATAGGTTATATATATATATATATGTGTGTGTGTGTGTGTTCTACTTCCGAGGGAAATACCAAGAAGCACGAGGTGCATTCTGTGACGATACTGGTTTATTCTGTGCAAACCTCTTTAACAAAACATCAAACGCCACAACTTCAGGTATCAAGCAGAAGCAAGACAGTGTCCTTTATAAAACCATAAATCACGCATTATGACTACTACTAAATAATTCCATTTATTAGCAATCATATGAAACAATTAGAGGAAACCACCCGTAACCACTTTGCATTCTCGTCGTAGGCGAAATTCACCTTCCGTTTCTGAGACGCTGCTCGGGTGTGATCCGTTGCTAGTAAACGTCATATAGTTGACTCATGAAAGGTCATGGATTTCATGATTCATGAATGTGTGTGAACCTTGTAACAGCTAGCGATCATTTCGATCTGTGCCGTCAAGGAGGGAAGAACTTTGGAAGTTCGTGTTAGTGCTTAATATTTGTGCGTACAATAGAATAAATGATGCCAGAATAAGTGAATTAATGTATATTTGTACACGTTGTGTGTGGTGTGAAGAATTACTAGACCTTGAAGAAGCTGTCTTGTCTGAACACTGAAGCAAAAATGTCACCTCTGTCGTTTGGTCTAAGACGTAAGACTGAAAATAGGCATTTTAAAGACTGTCATCATAATGTTTTTTTACCAACGGATTTATGGACAAAGTGGATCACTTTGTTGCTCGTCGTTTCTGTTTTTGGTCAGGTATGTGTCCTTTTTCGACAAATATAATTTGTAGCGTTTGTGTGACTGACGTTCGCCATATTTCACGTATTACTTTCGTATCAACCACACCCCTTGATAACTTAATAATACAGGTACTGAGTATCAGAGCTTATATGTATAGCTTTTATTGTAAGTTTGTGACATATAGTATTTAAAACATGAACCTCTTTTTTCTTTCTGAATATTAAAGCACATAAGATAGCATGCTGTTAGACTTGGTGGTCCATTGGTCTTGTGTCTCTTCTTTTTAACGAAAGATATGTAGTTAATTTACAATATAAAATAATTAGACTGTTTCAGAATTACATTCCAACAAGATCTGAAATTTTTGAGAGTTATTCAATCTGTTTGCAAACTAGCTTACTGCAGTTTACAGACATGTAGACATGACATGTTCTATATCCATCTTTAGATCTCTTGAACTTACAGTAAATACAAATACAGTACAGAATATAAGAATTGAATCATGTAGACCGAATGGCTGGCGTAGCGGTAACCGCGTTAACGCTCTTGGTAATGATCAGTTCGATTCTCGACTGGAACACTGGTTTATGGTTTTTCATTGTTTTCCACTGCCCATCCAGGCAAATCCTAGGATAATACCTTTATTTCGACTACAGCCGCTGCTCTCCAAATCCTTTCCATTCCATCTGTCATCCTACAATGCGACCTATATACCGCTATATACCTACTGAGAGCCATAAAATAACCCACAGAAATGAACGAATGATCAGCATGTACTGCATATAAAAATGCTACAGTTGAGTGCAGTTATCATTTACTATGACAGATGGTGTGAATGTTAAATTCATTATTCAGAATGTACCTTATCCACATAAAGGACAGTTTTATATTATAATTATTTTAGGGTCTTGAATAATGTGATAATTGGGGAGCCTATTTCTGTCTTAAGAGCCGTTGTGTTGGAAGATTCCTTAACAACAAGGAATTTCTTGATTGCTTAGTAACTAGAATTGTCAAGGAGGCCACTTGGGATATAGTGATAGCCCATATTTTTGATAGCTTAGGATAAAATGAGTGACTGTCTATTTTTTATGCCACTATTGATGTGGGTGCACTACCTTTTTAACATTAGATAATAGTATGTTGCTATCATAGTTTAAGTTCCAGAAATGTACAATTAAGTACAATGGCAAATATTGGAAGAACGAGAAGTGAGGTTTGGAGGTGACAGATGGACACTGTGTGTTTGAATTGTACAGATCCATCAGGTGGTTCATGCCTAAAACAGGTAATCATTTAATTGCAAATTAAAATGGACCCAATCTTCACACTGGAAGATATGTCATAAATTTAAGTATTAATATGTTAACATCTTGTAAACTGAAATTGAGGTTGGCTGTAGTTTTGTGTGTGATGTCCATTTTTATAACATGGCACTGATGATTATTAAGTGAAGTGAGGTAAATGATGAGGGTTCAATTATGTGTGATTTGATGGGTGTGTGTATGCTTTGCATTGTTGATCATTTGTTAAATTATGGAAATAATGCAGTAACAAGTAGAAACAAAAAGAAACTCCATGGTTTTAATCCTCAAGCGAACTATACTGACCAAGCGAGCAACCTACTGCCACTTGTCGGTAAAGTTAGTGCCAACTTTAGTGGCTAGAGGGTGTCGCGTGGTCAGCACAACAAATCCCCAAGGCCGTTAATTTCGGTTTTCTAGACTGGAGCCACTATTTCCTTGAAATAGCTCCTCAATTATCCCCACGAGGCTGAGTGGACCCCGTTCCAGACCCATTACTTCTCAGATGATCTGGTAACACCAGGTATCAAACCTGGGACAAGTAATAAAAATAAAGTTAACCTTCATTATATCTTGCGCACTACTACAGCAGTTCATGCATCTGTCCAGGAGGTCTAGTGTTATGCCATTAACAATATATGAAGGTTGTTCCAAGGTAGTGTGCCTGAGGGATTATTCTGGATGAAGGAACAGGGGATGTTAAAAATAGTCTCGAAGGGTGTTGAGGCCGGCACCATGTTGAAGCATTAGCCAAATGGGTCCTTGCCTGAACTCTGTGTGGCTGCTGCTGGAACCACTGCTGCAATACTCGGCCCTAATGTCTTCATGAACTGGTTTAATGTCATCATACTTCATAAATGTCATTATGACCATTAATGGCAAGGAGGAGGTTTATATCCCCTATTTATGGACAATGAAAGTATAAGAACAAAAGTAACATACTGTTTCAAATGCACCATAAAAGTTGTCCCTGTGCATAATTGATTAAGCACTACATCATGTAGATATGTGAGGGAGTGGAGGTAAAGCTCCATCATTCTTGACCTTTGTAATAGGTAGAGGTGATTGGTCAGCTTCACACCCTGACCGATTTACCATTGGGGAACCAGCCCCCAGTATCCGTTGGATAGCAGGAGGCTAGGTTGACCTTATAGCTGGTCTGGATATTATGGAGACAAAAATCTCTTGCTCCTGCCGGGAATTGAACCCCAGCCATCGAGCCTGTATCCGGTCACTATTCTTGCTCCATTTCAAATGCTCCATATTATTGAAAATAGTTTTCAAAATTGTTCAGACTGTAACACAGTTATTTTCTCATGGGCATTCTTGCATGCAGGTTGCAATACTGCGAACAGCCATGCAACACTGATAAAACCACTTGCCTGAATATTCATACTGGCAGTTTACATAAAAAGTTATATTTAGGCCATTTAAGAAGTAATTTTAATGATTCAGTTAGGGTATTAATGATAGGATACATTTTTTTAGAAATTCTTTTAATTCTGGGTGATAATATTTTTACAGTTGTAAGATTTGAGGCTTTCACGGCGGTGACTATGAAGAAAGCAGTCTTCTGGGATTTGGCACCGTGTATATGTGGTGTTAACCGACGTTTCGGAGGAACGTATCGCCCCCATCTTCAGGGTTGAAGAAAAAGTATAAGTAAATCTGCAAGCGACAACACCGTGAGACACTCTTCATTTTTAGAGTTGTTCTGTTTTCATTCCATCCTCTCCAGAATTTACAGGGTGGGTGGTGGGCGGTGGGCAGATGCCTGGCTCCCCCCTGCCCCTCACAAATCCATGTTCTCTTGCTGAATTGTTTGATTACTTTATGATTCTTTACTGGGTGCACAATGTGTGGGATTGAAGGAGGCACAACAGTATAATTAGCAGTGAATAATGTATCAGGAGGCATTTTGAAGGAGGTATTGATGGATGTGGGGTAAAAGTGCTGTCCTGGCTAGCACTGTCACTGTTATGTTGTGGGGTGGGTAGTTACTAGTTAACACATTGAGGACTGGTCGCATGATATCATGCTTTTGGCTTTTAAACCTGGCAGATTGGTCACTTAATATCATGATTTTAGGACACGTTAATTTGTAACACAATATACCTTGCTCTGGGGCCACCCTAGTTGCTAGCAGTGACCTAATAAAACTCTGGAATGTTTGCTTACTTGTCAGTAACTTGATCTCACTGTTTTCTTAAGTGGAATGCTTTGCTGCTCTTGGAGCTGTATGTGTGAGACAATAGTTAGTGGTGGGGTATGGACAAGGACAGATTCTTGTCTGATGAGCCAGCTGACCTGCCTTGTGAGTCAGGTAGTTATGGTGATTGAGAGAGAGGCAGTGACAGGGAGAACAAAGAATTGTGGCCACTGACAGTAAAAGTGACAGTAGCTCCGACGATAATGGGGGTAATAATATTGCGGGGACAGTAAAAAATCACAAAAATCTAAACCCTGATTCGAAATTGAAATACGAAGCCTTTCTGGTTAATGTGGCAAAGGCCTGAGCTACAGACCAGATGGTGGCGGCAGAACCAGTGTCAGGCACAGACTTAGTGCGACCGTTCCCATCAACTCCCACCCCACGCAGGCCTCATGTGGAACCCCCAGGGCGACTCTCGGTTGATATGCAGAAACAGACCCTCGTGAAAATTGTGAAGAATGAACATTCCAAGGGGTAGCATCCTTCTAGGCAATGCCGTGTTTCCACAGTTCACAAAAAAAAGGAGTATGTCTACATTTACAAGTACTGTGTAATGCCACTTCACAAAGGGGAATGTTTCCAGAAATATCACACTCTCAATCACTTCTAGGAGCATTGGTAAATGTTCTCCAAATATTTTAGTTCATAAAATTAATTAGGAGATTTTATATTAATTTTTAAAGTGAACAGTGCAAATGTTAGGATAGTAGGTTTAATAATGGCGGTCCACAGGGTGATTTAAATATTTAAATCGCCAGTCCTTAATGTATTAATTAGACCAGCATGCATGTTATAGTTATCTGTATTGTGATAAATGGTAGCTTTCAGTTCATATGTTCAGGGTTTATCCTCAAGTGAAATTTAAGTAAGTTCCTTCAGATCACCATGCAGTGTAATTAAATGTCTTGGGTCAGAATGTAAGTTGGGTTTTTTTCTAAAATATCTGAAATTGTGGAGCTTCTGATCGTCTGTTAAGCACAGAAGATATGAAAAAAAGTTCATTGCTCCTTCCCCCCCCACCCCACCCCATTTCTGAACAGTGGAGCAGAATTCTTTGCATTTCATAAGTTTGATAGAAGTGAACATTAACTGCTGTGACATGGTAACTGTAGATTTGTATTCTTCACTTGAATTATGGTGTCTAGTCTGTAAGTAGACTTAAATGTTGTTCAGTATTGTGAACAGTCCTCCTGCATTGACCCCAGTTGACCTGAATTTGGTTATGATGTCGATAATTTATTTGATCTTGAGCTGCAGGTTATATGTATTGGTACTGACTGAATAGGCTTGCCACGTGAAACTGGTGGTATAATATGAAGGTTCACACCAGGATCCTGTTCTAAGCATACAGTCCAATCCATTAAACATGCGAATTGCATGTATAAAAAGTTTCTTGTCATCATGCCATCTTGCTTTCTTAAGTGGATGCATATCCTGAAGTTACACAACCATGCATTATCTCTTTTCCCTGTCTGAGGTATATGGTTGGCCCTCCATAT